CAAAGTCAAACATAAACACTAGTTTTTTTTCTTTTCTTCGATTGGATAAGGATCTCCATCCAAGATATGCCATCACCTTCTCAGAGTTTGACCCTTGGATCCAACCACTTACAATAAGACCCGCTCTATATTGGACTCTATCTAAACTTGCTAAGAGGTTTAGATTTGCGCTGTCAAAAATAATATTGCCATATTCGAGATGTGGGAGAATGAATGCCATATAAATTGTCTGTAAGTGTTTTGATCTTACTGAAAATTTGAGTGCTTTCAATGGATTTAACATTTTATTACACCTAGTAATCACTGAGTTAATGTGTTCTTCAAAGCTAAGGTGTTTGTCTAAAATGATGCCTAAATGTTTATGGCTATTTACAAGAGGTATTTGCTCATTATTCATTGTTACTGGAATTTGTTTCTTGACTTTTCGTGTGTGTTTAGATTGAAAGATAACCTCTTTACTCTTAGATGCCTTAAATTTGAGTTTCCATTTAGTGGACCAATTAGCCATTTCATTGATATCTGATTGAATTTTTTGATTTGTTGCTTCAACTGATTCATTCTTTGGTACTGTCAAGAAGATGGAACTATCATCAGCATATAAGAAAAGTTTACAATTATGAACTGAGTCTGCTAAATCATTAATATATAGCAAAAATAAGAGGGGGGCAAGAATTGATCCTTGGCGAACCCCACTATTTATTTCATAGGATCTGGAGTCTCGATTTTGAAGATTTTGAGGAATATTTGCACCAGCTTCAGCATTACATAAAATGTCTGAATAAGTGTCATTGATCCTTACTTTTAATTTCCTATCTGTTAGATATGAGGTCAATGACTCTATAATATTGTTGCCTAATCCATAAGATTTCATCTTATGGAGTAACAAAAAATGTGGGACTGCGTCAAATGCACCTTCCACGTCTAAAAAGATTCCACGGGTTGCGAGGTTAGAGTCAAAATTATCGGCTAACATATTAACAATAGAAAATAGTTGCTTCTGTTTATCATGTCCTGGTAAGAACCCGGACTGATTTTCATAAATGAGGTTCTTCGAGGAAACATGGTCAAAAATAGCTGTATAAATTATTCGTTCAAAAAGCTTTGAGAGATTATTGAGGATGCAGATTGGTCTGTAGTTGGATGGGTCTGTTTTTGAATTTTTATTCTTATATATAGGAACAATTATACCCAGTTTCCAGCAATCAGGAAATGTAAACTGTAACTGTGATTTAAGGACCTATGTCTAGGTTTTAGGGGTCAAGGATTTCATTTATGTCTAAGTCTAAGTCATCAAACAATTGTTTCTTATAGAAATCCAAGATGGCCACCAAAATGGGTGCAAAAACGAATATGTAACTACTGTTAATGCTCAAGAAACACTCAAGAACAATGATTTTTGAGCCCATGTCTGTTTTAGGGGTCAAGGATTTGATTTATGTCTAAATCTGAGTCATAAAATAATTACTTTTCATAAAAATCCAAGATGGCCACCAAAATGGATGCCAAATCGAATATGTAACTATTGATTTAAGCTCAAAGAACAGTTAAGAACAGTGATTTTGGAGACCATATCTAGGTTTAAGGGTCAAGGATTTGACTTATGTCTAAATCTAAGTCATCAAACAATTACTTTAAATAAAAAATCCAAGATGGCCACAAAAATGGGTGCCAAAATGAATATTCAACTTAAGCTCAAAGAACAGTTAAGAACAGTGAATTCTGAGCACATGTCTGCGTTTTAGGGGTCAAAGATTTCATTTATGTCTAAATCTGAGTCCTCAAACAATTACTTTATATAGAAATCCAAGATGGCCACCAAAATGAATATTTAACTGATTGATTTAAGCTCATAGAACAGTTGAGAACAGTGATTTTGGAGAGAATGTCTAGGTTTAAGGGGTCAAAGATTTGACTTATGTCTAAATCTAAGTCATCAAACAATTACTTTTTATAGAAATCCAAAATGGCCATCAAATATATGCCCAGGTTAGCAGCAATATTGAAAACTTAAACCAGTCAGCCTTATTTTCATCACAAAAGTTAAGTTTTCGTGGTGAGCCCACACTCCCACAACAATGATATTTGCAGGGAAGCTACTTTACAGTCTCTGCATTATACAGTTTCAATATCTTTTTTTGTGGGAGGGTGGGCTGATGGTTAAATGTTCAATGAAAGGGAATGAGCACCATGCTAAAACTTGATAACAAAGTGAACAAAAAATGACAATGTTTTCCAGATTTGCATTAGTAAACTTCATACATAGCTGGATTTTGTTAATGTTCTACTCCGAATGCCTGTATGCCATATGTTCCATATAATAAATTCTATATAATGATAAGTTTTGATATTATTTTGATAGTAAACATAGTGTGTACCAATATTCAGACAGTCTTGTGATAGGGGTTCTTATTGCCAATTTTTCAAAGAAACTGAAAACTAATGCCACTTTTTGATATTGCACATCTCAAGAAAAAAAGTTTATCTACAACTTGCAATCGGTTTTAAAAGTAAATGGAAGAATGAGTTTTTTGGAAAAAGTCTAAGTGGACCAATAGTCTGTTAAAGGGACCTGTTCTTTGAAAAAATTAGGCATCTGTTTTTTTCATGGAGATTTATTTCTATTATAATGTCAATGATTTATGTGTTTACTCAATTTTTTCTTTATATGTATTGTATGGTATTGTAAAATTGTATTGTATTGTATAGTATTGTTACAATATTGTTACACTACAGTAGTGCATTTATTATATTATATTGCATTGTATTGTATTGTATTGTACTGTACTGTACTGTATGTTAAATGAACTCAATAATCAACTGTACTATTTACATCCAATCTGGCGCCTTTTATGCAATCAGTCTCAAAAATAGATTTACCACCAATCTGAGCTGGGACAATTAATTCTGCATGTTCTGTGTTAGACACCCAATTTATGTGGGATTATTGTATTGGAGTAATAACTTGCAGTTGCACTGATATGTCTATAATCTGAAGACTACAATATTCCTTCCCCGGCCCCACTGGACTTGATCATCTCAAGAAGTTTCAAATGAGGTCTTTGTTCCACCAAATGAAGTTCTAGATGTAGTTTTAAATGTAGATTGCAAATATGACATCACTTTGATGTCATATATAACTTTTTTCAAGTTTTATGATGTCACAATCACCTTCCCCAAGAATGAGATGTCATTGAAATGTATAATGATGTCAGAGTGTCTTTCAGAGTTCAGTGATCAGATCTCTGTGTTGATTTCCTTTTTGATGCTAAATTAGAATTCAAAGTATCATGTTTTCATTTAATAACTTAAAAATAATAGTGATACTCAAAATAGCATGCACTTTTTTAAACCTGGATAATCAATCATGATGATTCCATTAACAGGAAAGCAACTTGCTGAAACATCTTTTGGAACTGTGGTTTTATTATCGCACTATTTATTATTGTATTGTAATGACCTGTGAGCGACCCAGGGGAATGACTAACTAATAAGCATAGTGTAACAAGCCAGATAAAGGAATTGAAAGTATGCTAAATTCCTGGCATGGGGATAGAGCCAAGGACCCTTTGACCCAAAGACTGATGCTCTACCGGCTGAGCTATAAAGGCTTAAGCCACTACAGCTGGACTGTAGTAGCAACTTGCTATCAAGGCTCATTACAGTACTGTGCTAAATGATTTATCATTACCAATCAAAATGGCCTTATTATTTCGGCTTTTGAACAATTTTACATATTATTGGTAGTTGATACTTTTTATCATTGTGTATATGGAAAATAAAACATTGAACTTTTTATCATTGTGTATATGGAAAATAAAACATGGAAAATGAAGATTAATGATGCGGTTGTAATTTGATTTGATTTTCCCAGAAATCCCCTCAGAATTCTGGAGCCTGTGGAGAAATCAAAGACATGAATGAATATTGTATTATTGCTTTAATATGAGGTGAATGCCCCTGATACTTCTTATATTTTCTAAATAAATTATCATTAAATATTTAAAGGTAGGGTCAAACATACATATCAACTTTTCCAAATATGTGTTTTAGGCCTTTAAGTCAGGATCTTTTTGTCTTGTATTATTCCTTCATGCCTATAATCTCAAATTAAACTACATATGTGTACGTTGTTCAAGAACATAGACTTTTTAAGTTTTTTTCTCATAATTGTACAATTCGTACAGTTGAAGAGACTTTACAGATTTCTACATTTTAAATCTTAAATAATAACAACACCTTTCAATTTTAAACTTATTTAGTAATTAATCTTAATTTTGGAATTTTTCCAAAATATACATAATTTTGGAATATCTGAAATTTTCCTCAGTCAACGAATAAATCTCATTATGAGCAATCTTGCTCAAAACTTCCATAGACTCTCCTACAGCATTCACATGGTAGGATTGTAAATGAACTGTTATAAAGTCACATGGGTACACATGTATGTCGATGATTATCTTTAAAGTAATAATATCCATTTTATTCATTTTCATATCTTATTTTTATAATAATGTTGCAAAGCAATATAAGACTTATATACCACTATGATCTTTTGGACGCATTTAATAAAACTAATTGAAAAATAATCTCCATGTATAGGTTATTATTAAACTAAAGGAATAGCCCTGTGTTGCACGGTTATATTACACAATGTTAAAGCCATGCACCTGGGGCCATGGATTCAGCACCCCCACAAGTGTCCTCATTAAAGTTACAAACTTTTCTTAAGCTGGCTATGTATGGTGTTACTAGAGCAATCTGAGAATATCTTCAAACTCAGCCATTTACCCATTTTTACAATATACTCATCTGTCTCTGAATTGCAGAAAGACAGAAATTGTGAAAATGTGGCTTACCAGGATGATTTTTACCCTACGATTTTGTAGGATGTCAATCGATAAATTTTTAAATTCATGAAATTATCTCTGATAATTCTTAGTTCTTACTGTGTTGTCTTCATGGCAAAATCTGGAAGCCTAAAATTTTTTTTGTTCTTTCAGGAATGGTCAGACGGGCATTATATCTCACTGTAAGTAGCTACACTCCTACGTTACTAGCGTGTGTCGCCATACTGTTGGTGAACTACTGTAATGGTGCTGCAAGAGCGAGAGATTCACAAGTAGCTCTTGAAAAAATAAAAGAACTTTTCCTGGCAAGGTATGGCATAGTTTAGTCCTACATATTACAGTAAAACTTGTCTTAGTGAACACCTCTCTCTAGTGAACACCTGTCCCTAGGGGATACCTGACTCTAGTGGACACCTTTCATCTGCACATATTACACCGACCTTTGGAATCAGAAAGGAAAAAACAGTGTTCTGAAATAGATTTGTCTCTCCAATCTAAAATTCAGAAACAATTCTTCAATTTTATGAAAATAATGGGCTCTGTACCTCTGTGGTTAGATATACATGTACCATTTAAAGATGTTAATTTATCATTAAGTCAGTTGGTCTTGGGACTCTGAAAAGTGTTCCACTAACAGATGTGCAGGGGCGGATCTGGGAATCAACAAGGGGGGGCCCAAATTTCAAGCCAGAGAAAAAAAGGCTAAAAATTTTGGGCTCCTAAAACCCAAAAGTGGGCCCAAATTTTGAAATTTTGAGGCCCATTTTCTTCAAAATTTGGCCTGAAATTAAAAAATAAGGCCTTAAAAGGCCCAGTAATGACCAAAAAGGCCCACTTATTGGGGCCTGAAGGCCTTTTTTGGCCCAAAATTCTTTTTGGGCCCAATTTTTTTTCTGGGCCCACCCAAGGGGGGGGGGGGGCCCAGGCCCCCCCCCCTAATCCGCCAGTGGACGTGTTCCACCTCTAGAGGTGTTCCATTTTACAGGTTTAACTATGTTTTTCATGACTATTTTAAAATTAATGTGAATGTACATACGTACTATACATAATGGAAAATATTAAAATCCAATCTATTGATTATTTATTAATCTATTAAAACTAGAACAAAGTGTAATTTGATTTGGAATATTATGTCAAAAAGCATTAGGGATTCTAAATCTGTCTGTGTGTCTAGGAAAAAATGTGGTAAAATGAATTACTCTTTAAAAATGATGAATGTGAAGAGGTCACCATCATTTGTTATGTCATCACCACCTGTGGTGACATATTCAACTTCTTTTGTGGATGGGTTCGGCATTCTGCAGTTGGCATTCAGCAGTCATTGTTGGTAGTCAGCGTCTGTAACAAATGGCAGACAGTGACATTTTGTATTTTAATGCCTTGTTTTAATACTGAATTTGAATGAACTGTTAACAGTACAAATTCCAGCATTTTGCATTTCATCCAGCATGGTGTCAATTTTTATTAATGAAGAATCTTGTCTGAATTTGCTTATTGGATGTTCATTGGGATTTGCTACACATGGGTGTTGCCATTATTCAGTTATATCTGCCCAGATTTGGAAAATTTTAAATTTTGGATAAGGTCATTCCATGAATTCTCACAGGAGGTATCTTCCAACAATTCCTACTTGCTACTTGTTTGCAACTAAGAGTATTCCTCCTTTGTGGTGGAGTCATCAAACCATTAGTCTTACTTTTCATTTAAATCACCTATTTATCACTTGCTTGTCGCAAGAAAATTATTAGTTACATTATATATATCATTAGTTGCAAACTTTATCTTTTAATTATTTGGATTGTGTTTGATGAGAACTTCCAGGAGGATCGTATTCCATGCATTTTGTAACAAATTCAATATTTTGTGATTTTAATCTGACAAAACCATCAGCAACCCTCAGGTTCCTGTTAAGATGAAAAAAGTTTTTAGCATGGTTGTACCATATGAGAATATAATTATGTAATTTTGATTACATTTAAAATCATCAAAGCTCCTTCTGAATTCTATATGAACATTGACTATGCATCATATAGTCTCCAACTTTTTTTGCGGATGGTGTTTGGTGGTTGATGTTCAGGGGTCGGTGTTCAGCATTTGTTGTCTGTAACAAATGGCAGGTGGTGATATTTTGCAAGTTAACGTCTGCCTTGTTCAATTTTGTTTTGGTGCCTAATTACATGTAACAAGCTACATGTTACTAACTACATGTAACTATATACATGTTACTAACTACATGTAACTATATACATGTTACTGACTACGTGTAACTAACTACATGTAACTAAATACAAGTATTGTTATTGAATGACACTGTCATATGATGTTTAATGATGATGTAATTCTGACGCAATCTAGCAAGAAATTAAAGCAGGTTTATTAGTGTCAAATATTATTATAGATTATATATAATATCCTCTTCTCTTAGTTTTTATTTGGTTAAATTGTTAAAATGTTCAGCATATTATCAGCTCTTTTGAAAGCTGAATTTCTGAATTAAACATTAATGTGTACTACACTATCCTAAAATCATTTAGAAATCACACTTATTAGTTCATTGTTCTTTTAATATCCTTGTCATTTGTTTGAACCTCATTCTCAGCCCCATTTACTACAAATGTTTAATTCTGCGCTGAATGATCAATTTGTCATCTTAATATTGGTTTCAAATTGCATTTGAAATGGTACCTGAGTCAATTCATTAGATTTAGAATGAATAAATATTTTTTATGAACTCATTTTACCTGTTTATTAGCACTCATTGCTTTATCTTGTGTTGAAAATATTAATAATCAAATAATCTCTAAATTAAAAGTCATCCCTGGACAATTCAACTCCCTAGACAACTCAACCACTCCACAGATCAACACATTGACTACTCAACAACTGGAGAACTCAGCCCCTAGACAACTCAACCACTGCACAACTAAACCCTTAGACAACTCAAGCACTAGACAACTAAACACCTAGACTATTCAACCACTGCATATTGCAACCACTTGACAACTCAAGCACTAGACAACTAAACGCCTAGACTATTCAACCACTGCATATTGCAACCACTTGACAACTCAAGCACTAGACAACTAAACGCCTAGACTATTCAACCACTGCATATTGCAACCACTTGACAACTCAAGCACTAGACAACTAAACGCCTAGACTATTAAACCACTGCATATTGCAACCACTTGACAACTCAAACTTTAGACTACTTAATCTCTGGACAACTCTACCCCTAGACAGTAGACAGCTCATCCCTGGAGTTCAAGGTTCAAGTTCAAGGTATCAATTGTTTAAGTTACATATCATAATGAATTTAGATTGAGAAATACAGCTGTATTAGAATTTTAAAAGGCTTTTTGGATGAGCAAAAATGTTTTTGTTTGTGTGTTTAAAATACCAGTTTTAAAAGCTGGTAGAGTGATGAAGTATGATATGGACTAGTACCAGTGTAGGCCCTAAGGGCTGGTCTGCTGGTCATTACCAGGTTACATTTGATACGGACCAGTTGATATTTTCACTATTGATGAAAAAATCAATAAATCAAAAATTAAAATCAATTTTAATGCCCTATTGCATAATAACATTGCAACTTTCCCGTAATGCCCTTTTGACCAGCAGGTTTCATATCCTTAGGGAGTACACTGACTAGTACTATATCTAGTACTGTTCTTATGGAATTTATTTATTTTTGGACAGGGATTCTACTATTTTCCACTTTTTGTTGAAATACTCAAACTGCAGTCAATGCCATGAACAGTTAAGTAAGATATTCCTGAGGAATATGTCCCTCAACCCATCCCCTTGGTTAGTTTCATCTTTGGCCTTCCATTTTCAATCAGCCCCTGCGTACATTGGCAAAACAGCCTAGCTTAGTTTTGGAGGTTTGAGTTGTCCTTTGACTACTTCTTGGTATGCATGTATTGTTAATAGTTTCGATAGATGGTTTTATTAATTCCGATCCTTTGGCTTATTGCATTTTATAACAATATAAGTCCTAATACATTGTAAAGGTGTAATATAATACTAATCTTCACAAAATGTTATCAAATTAGGTTTAGTTCTCAAATTTCTTTATTTGAATTTGAAGGCACCATTACTATCTAATACTTAGTATGAATAAAGTAAAAAAGTAGGTAAATTAAAATTGTAACAGTTTGTGTCAGGTAACAGTCACAATAAAATCCCTCCCTGTGATTAATTAAGGTCAAGTAAGTTATTATTCTGGAATGATGACATGCATATATGAAGAATATTTGATTAACTATGGTAATATTACTGTTATATTTGGGTGATAATGGTTATTGATATTAGAGGTGTCACAGATATTCGATTTCTTTCTGACCCCTGGAATTTTTTGCACCAAGGGAATTTCTTTTTTCACTCCTTCTCTTTGAAGAGTTTTTCGCTACCAGATTGACCTACACGTATACGATCAACTTACTGTGACTTATAGGTTTTAAAGTAATCAAATACACGCTGTCACAACCAATCAGGAATTGTTCTGTTCCGGATCCAAATGTTCCGAACCAAACTGTTCCAATTTTTTGTTCAGGGACACCTTTAATTTATATGTCAAAAAAATAAAAAAAGCAATAGTGTTTTTCTTCATGATTAGCTCACTATTTCAGAAATCAAATCTAACTGTATATATGGGTACACTTCTTCAAAGGAACAGGTTAATTCTAGAAAATACTTATGGCTGAGATTGAAGGGCAGCAGCACTCTCAAGGTTGCTCTTAATGTTGACACTAGCATTGTAAAACCTTGGCAATTAGCTGATTGTATTTCATAAATTGATAACATGAAAAAAACTTGTCAGATGAAGAGGTTAAATTGTTTTCTTACTAATTGTAAAGAAAGTGATATATTTTTGTTTTCATGACCCTAGCTGTTTCATGATCCATTGCCCCCCTGGTCAAAAAATCTTTCACAATCATGCAGTTTTTCACCATTCCCGAGCACTTTTTAAGTTATTTTGGCCATTTTTGGACCAAAATTGTCACAAATAAACCCCCCCTGGACTTTTTCAAAAAGTGATCCCCCCTTTCAAATCCTGGCTACGGGCCTGAACAATATGGTCAAAATGTATCTCACAAGCAGTCAAACCTCCATAAATGAAGTCAGAGTTGTTGATATTTAAATGAGTAAACAAATAAGGGATTTTAAAAATGTTTGAGAAATCTTTGACATTTTTCCTTGTTCATTCCTCTCTCTTTTTCTGCAGAACTCCACATGAGTGGAAGCAAAACTGGCATGTTGACTGCCACAGACGATGCCGTAGTGAGCTCATACATCACATTAGAATAGCATGCGAGAAGGACATCTATAGGCTTGATAAGAGGCTTGCAGGTATGGTAATAACTAGCGTTATCCAATTGTCAGATTGTTATTTGCAACTTTATTTTAAAGCTATATTATTTTGCGAATTTGCCCATTTAAAATATTTTGTTTTTTGATTAGGGTCAGACTGAAAATTAAAATGATAATGGGTGACAAATAATCAATTTTGTGCTTGTCTATGCTGTAAACTACATACATACATGTTCTGTAACCAGTTATAAATTGTCAAAAAGATAGATTATTTTGCAAATTTACTCGAAAATTCACTTGATTGCATTTGTCACAAATATAGAAAACTACAGTATATTGTAGTTTAATTAGATTGTTACATGATACTAATTGCTGCAGTTATATAAGCTCACGGTTTCATCATAATAGTGATTAAAGTCACTAAAGAGAATGTACAAGCTTAACTTAAGTATCTGAAACCACATGCCAGACAGACCCCTTTAAGTCATCATTTATATCTGTTATCTATGTCTGTAATTTTGATATGCTTAATTACATCTATAAGACAAATGAATCAATTCTTTGTGCGGTTTTCAAGAAATAGAGCAATGGCTTCGACTTATGGGGATCAATCGGTTTAAATTACAATTTAACTCATCTTATATTTCATCTTACTTGTTATTTTGTCCACAATAGGCTATACATACTTATCCCACGATTAATTTGTTATCTGTACAATAACAGCTATTGATATTTCTGATATTATTGAAATCTGTGTGATACTTTCCAGAAAATCGTTTATCAAACTCATATGCGTGTGATATCGTTTATCTCACGCATATCCGTGTGATATCACATTTGCATTTCGCGCCACAATGTTGTTGGAAATTAGGTCAGATAATTTATTCTCTTTTGAGAAAATAGGTCCGTTAATTTATTCTCTCTAAGTTTCATTGGTGTATTGAATTACGATTGTGTATATAATTTGATTAGAAGGCTGCTAACTAACGATTAAAAAATGGTATTTATATTTATGACGAACTATAGAATTACAAATACATGATATCAGATGCATTACAGACATTTTGATTAAATAATGCACAGAACTACTTTATCCCACGATTATTGTGTTTATCAACCCCAAATGCTGCAGATTTTCTGAAAAATATCACACAGATCTCTGTAATATCAGAAATATAAATGGTTGTTATTGTACAGATAACACGATAATGGTGGTATATAGTAGTTGCACACTTAATCAAAATGTCTGTTATTCCTCTGGGTGCTTCTCATATACATGTATGTTCTATGTAAGTTTGCATCAACTAATACTGAATAAAAAAAATCAAATATGCGATCCAAAAATTATATGTTTTAGATTCCAACAATCCATTCATGGGTGAAGATGAGGCTAATTCTTTCTTCAAGGTGCGATCTCGCCGTGACCTGCGTCTGAAACGTCGTGGCATCATGCAAGAGTGTTGCTATGACAAGCCATGTTCGTGGGAGGAGTTTGCCGAAAGCTGTCACACGCATAGCCGACTACCTGCAAGTCGAATAAACCACTGTAAAAAATGATGCATCAGAAGTTTCAGTTTTGAAAATATTCAGACTTGACTCTATATGTGACATTTATTAAGTGGACTACCTGAAAATCATATCAACTGACATAAAAATTATGAGACATTAACTCATTTAACAATTGTTTCCTAATGTTGAGGTTTTATCTTATTGCCTATACAAAAATTATCAAACCATTGTGGCTGTGTAATTGTATATGTGCAGCACCCTCTGCAATATGTGCAGTGTACACTTGGAGGCAAAATACTCAATATATGATTACACCACTTGAATTGAAATATTTTAGGTGAATAGATGAGTTTCTATTTTAATTCTCACTCATTTTTTCATTAGATTTTAAGAGATTTACATATGAAGCCTCTAATGACATACATTTCCTTCTTTTTAATAGCATATTTGAATTTAGTGAAAATAGCCTTGATTTATACATTTATGAAAATTTATTATGAGTTAAACAAAATAGTTTGTATGTTAGGAATGGTTTTAAGTGTTTATCCTGACGTGAACATTCCATGAAAAATTATCGAGAATTGAAAGAGAGGGATGCCTTTTTCTGTCCCGGCTACTATATTTTACATACAACTAGCTGTTGCTACTGGCAACTTAATATATAAGGGTTTAAACGAAGCATCTTATTTTTCCACAAAGTTCTGTACGAATCTAACTGGATTCATAAATTTAGTTTTAAATAATTATCTATGATTAAATTGTTCTAGAAATGCACTGTCATTAAATCTAGAAAACTATGTGTGTACATGGTGGTGATTCATTCTCAAGTAGGCCTACTGTAAATTGTTTTAATAAGGTCGATTGATAAAAACCACCAAATTAAGTCTTTGTCATTATTTTTTAAAGAATCCCTGGGGATTTTCATCCAGGGACTTTTCCATGTGTTACATTGTATGATAAAACTTTGGTGAAAATTTGAAAATGCAAGGATAAAATGATAATCTTAAGCTATTTCCGAAGATCTACAGTCTCTGCTGGTTCAGAAAAAACAATCTGATACCAGGAGAGATGAAATTGCATTATCGTTGGCGAGCTATATGCATTGAGTTATACGATTGAAGATGATCGTTATGGCAAATGAGGGTGAGGTAGCTACAAAACATACGATCATGAGTTGAAAGAAAAAATAACAAATCACTCGAGCATGTTTGCCTCCAATATCTGCATTTTTCTGATAGGTCAATCGGCCAAATTAAATAACAGCCAAATTTTCAAAATGTGCCCAATCGGCCAAATTATCACCAAATTAAAGCTATTTACAGTATGTCATGTTCATGAAATTAAAACAGTTATGAGTGAAAATAAATAGCCCTGAGTGGGCAGACTTAAATAAATAAATAGTCTCGAGTCAGTGAGCTAACACACAGAAAAACTAACAGCAGCCAATGAATGAAATTTAATTATTGTGAAAATACTAACCCACTCCTGAAATATATCCAATGAATTTTTATATACTGTATAAACATTATGACTCTTTAAATGTTACAAATCGATAACAATTAAGCCAAATTGAACCATTACAACAGTCCATTTATTTGACTAGATTACAGACAATTTAAGGTAATTTGGAGAGAATCACAAACATTTCTGGGAAATTGTCATAAAAATTGAGTAAAAATTTCCAATTTTGCAGTAATTTTAGCCAATTTAAGCCAGTAAAAGACATTCCAATATGAATATGGCTTACAAGACGTCTTTTGTGGCCATTTAGGATTGAATGCTAATGATATCCATTAATTCTGATTCTATATCAATGGACATAAAGATCAAGTTATCATTTCGCAAAAAGCAAAAGTATTAAGAAAACCATACATTAAATTTGATAGGTGGAGACTTTAACAAATATCATCTTAGCAAGTGATATAAGTATGTAAAACAAAAGTATGTAAAATTACTTTTTAATAATTTAATGCAATTTAGGCAACAGAAAGAAATGTAAATTTCCCTTTGTTATATTTCAATAAAACTCTAAAAACTCTTAAAAATGACATTTTGTTGAATTTATGAAGAACTAGCAATATTGTTTATCTATTTAGAGTAAAACCTGTCTAATGTGATTATTGCTAGAACATCCATGAAAGTTTAGGTACTCATATTGAAATAATTATACACACATGAGAGTACTTGTGTATAGGAAAGCTAAAAAAGAATATGAATTGTAAACACAGGTTTTACTGTATATTTTTGTCATCTATTTTCCTGAAGGTATAAGGAAAATATTAGTAATCAAAGGGTCATTAACAGAAACATCGTAAAGTTACGAATTCGTAAGTCAATTGTAATCATGCATATTATGACATCACAGTGAGAGAACAATGGAGTTTACGAATTCTTAACTTTACAAATTTTCTGTTAATGACCCCCAGATTTGAGAGGGGGACAGTTATCCCTGGGGTCATAATAAAATAAAAGTATTATATATTGAAGGAATAAAGACAGAGATTTTATGGTTTATGGCGAAATATATGACCAAAAATGTTATTCTGTACATTGTTGAAAGACCGAAATCACATAGCGATTGAGGTCTTTGGCAATGGCCAGAATAAAATTTGAGGTCATATGTTTGACAAGAAACAGAACTTTTTGCATTTATGAATTTTAGTGGTCATACTTACTCCAATATAGACCAGTAAATCAATTGTTCTAGCTATTATTGTGACGTCATGTATCATATTAGAATCATGTAAAAATGTAGCTTAATATCCCTTACAAATTAAACACAACTCAAAATTTCAATAGTTATCACAGATTTTGTTTATTCATTGACTAGAATTTATAAAAATAACTACATAATAATGTAGCTGAATCCAAATACATAAGATAAATACAGATTCCAGACATTTATCATTTTATTACATACCCAAGCAGAGACATGAAATATTTATGTCTCTGACCCAAGTATTTCATGTTTTCAGAGATGTAAATGCTTACATCGCTTGTACTAAAGAATGTCTATGTAAAGTGTTGTATAAATTATGTTTGCCAATCAGACAAAAATTATTGTTTATCTCTTTCCGCTTCTGATTAGTGTATTGAATGTTCCTAATTGAGTCCATACCTCACTAATTATTAATAATCTTTTTTTTATCTGTGTGGGGGTCATATCAAAATATTTTTGGTAGTCAAAGAATGGTGAGCTCTATCTTGAACAATTTTTTTCATAGAACAAAATTGGTTTTAACTAAGAAAGTACATTTGAACATTCATAGGCTTCAATTGAAATATTCTACAAGGGTCTCCTCATACGAAATACCTTGATTATCAGCATTGTGACCAGCCTTTCTTTTTCAGATTTTATTTTGAAAAGTAATATTCTACTATTAACAATTTAGTTTGACCTGTCTGTTATGAAATCATTATTTAATAAATACTGATATTTTGATATGTTCCCCTTTATGTTAGAAACTTTTTTTAATCATCATCATCATTATCCTTAACCTTTGGTGCCTTTCGCTCCTTTACTCTCGAGAGCTGCACCTCCCACATGTCTGTCGATTTACCAGCTACAACACGCTTCCATTGGGACAAGTTGGTCCTGGAAACAAGAGAATAATTAGCCTACAAGACATACATTCATACTGATACAAGCATTTTGTAAAGTTACGAATTAGTAAATCAATTGTTGTAACCATGGATATGATGACATCACAGTTAGAGAACAATGGATTTATGAATTCTTAACTTTAAGAAGTTTCTGTTAATGCCCCCTGGAGAGTCTTTTTTGGCTTTTGCAGGTTAACCATGGGCTTTCAATCTAGTTGAAAGCCCGGGTTGAAAGCCCATGGGTTAACCAAAGACATCATAGTTACTGATACCATACCCATATGATATTATATACTTTGTATATACACTGTGGAGTAAGTAAATTCAATTTTTAGGATGCAAACAATAAAAGGTACAGTACATTGATTGACAATATACTTTTTAATACATTGCAGTATGTATATGAAATAAAAGGTAAAAAATCATTACACTTACTCGCATCCAGAAAGCAAATCTGCCGTACAGGGCAGACAGCGTGCCAGAGTTTTGTAGCAGGGCCAGCATACAAACATGATGAATCCGACTTGCTCCTTGGGGAGATTGTCTTTATTCTCCCTGTCCATCATAGGAATTGGCTTCAAGCCTCGACGCTTCTCTTCATCACCCTGGAAACAATCAACATTGGAGTTCACATAAGTTACACACCTTTTGATATTATTTTAATATAACATGTTTTTTTACAAATGAAACTGTCAAACAAAATTATTGCAAATAAGATTTCTGACATTAACTGATCAAAGAATTATATCGAAAAGTGTATAGATGGAGTCCACTCATATAATCAAATATATATTTATGTGGTGTATCATTTTGAAATCATATTAATGATAAAATTAAATTAATACAGGGTGACCAGAAAATGGATCCCATCAGTAGAAAAATTCATAACCAAATGTTTGAATATAGTTTATCCCAAGTAATATAAGATACTTGCACATGTAAGTAACCTGCAACATCAAGTACTAAATTCAATCATTCAACCAATTACTAAATATTGTACCTGAAGCCAGAACTCTTCATAGATGAGTATGGCAGTCTCTTGTTGTGTAGGCCATAGTTTACATATAGCACAAAGGTCAGCTGCGGTCATCATGAGGGCCATCACTTCATTCCTGCAAAATATAGATGAGTATAGCAGTCTCTTGTTGTGTAGGCCATAGTTTACATATAGCACAAAGGTCAGCTGCGGTCATCATGAGGGCCATCACTTCATTCCTGCAAAATATAGATGAGTATAGCAGTCTCTTGTTGTGTAGGCCATAGTTTACATATAGCACAAAGGTCAGCTGCAGTCATCATGAGGGCCATCACTTCATTCCTGCAAAAAAGATTTATCAACAACTAAAACTTGCATTTTTATAATATCACCACAAGTGACATATTGTTAAGGTCTCCAACTTATTTGTGACAACGTTCGGTGTCCAGCTGTCAGCATCTGTAACAAATGGCAGGTTGTGTATATTCTTTCAATAGACTTTCAAAATATGACATGAAAACATATTAAATGAGATTGGAGAGTTTTTGTGTTTGTTTAGTTGTACAAGCATAAAAGCATACACCAGAGTCTGAGTTTATCATATAGCATTGGACCACTCAGCCATGTTCGTTAATCCAAATTTTTTGTCTGAACAGGAATTTGATACTCTGACCTAATGCAACAGTGGAACATATTACCATTCTGAGTCAATTCAAGTGTTTTGAAAATTTATTCTATGTGTGATAGGCATTTGGAACCGCAATCTGAGAACGAAGAAAAGTTTTGTTGAACATCTGCAGATTGATAAAACGTGACCTCCCAAATTTGAATACTGGAACTACTGTACTAACAATGTACTTAAAGGGCCTCGCTGTCTGGCTGAAGTATTCCAACCAATACAATATCATAGACCAAGTTAGTGTCATCCTTGTACAGAAACCTTACCCTTTAATAGTTTGAATGAGACCATTTTTAAAGCTGCTTGTGTGAAATCAACATTGAATTGCCTCAGAATTAATGCTATTGACCTTCACTTGATACAAAATCGAGAAATCAAGTATTTGAAATTTAACCACATAACCGACAAATTATCAACTTACTTCCTTTTGTCGAGATCAAATGTTCCCTCATCTAAATCTTTCGTGAGAATCTTCTGGTTGCCAAAATATATTGCGAGATCAGTTGCAATGATTGCATCTTTTATTGACTTGAGAACTGTCTTGTAGTCCTCCTTCGTGAGGAAGTCCAGAATATCATGACCAGATTGCTATAAAGAATAATGTGATTAAAAAAAATCATGGTACAATGTTATTCTGATTTTAATTTACACCAAGATGTTTTGAATTCACAATGATTTGTAACCTATTGCACCATCAATGCTAAGTAGACAGAATAGAGAATATCAGGTCATTTTGAGTGATATTATCAGTTATCACATGTTTCAGCATGTGATACAGGAAATATTCCACGAAAGGTTAACACTGTATCATCCACGAAAGCGAAGCTTGAGTGGTGATACATTGTTACCGGACATTGGTATTGACTCCGTAGTGGTACAGTCCACCGTATCACATGAAAATGAGCCAGGTGCCTTGTGATATGGAATACATCATAACAATTGACCAATCAAAATGCTTAGAAACTCCTAACCATGTGATAACTTTTGATATCAAATATCAACATGAGTGAATAAACAGAATATGTGATTTTTAGTATTAAGTTAGGGTTATTGAGTTGGTGACATAATATATCACAAGACATTATCTGATATTGGGTTTATTACATAACCCAGAATACCAAAAACTACACAGTTCAAGATTTTCATCCAAAGAAACATCCCTTAAAATATTTGAAATCAATCAATTAAACGGTTTGATAAAAACAACTTCTGCATTAATAGGTCAATATCTGCTATCTGGAAATTAATTCCTAACATAAGGTGATTTAATTCACAATCCAGCCCACACAGTGAATTTGCAAATTGTGTCTGGGTGCTTAATTAACGGAACCGTGGGAGTTTTTTCACATTAATAATGATCCTGTTAAAAAACTTAAAAAGGCCAAGCTACTAAAATTTCATTCAATAATATTCTGAACCATATCCAACTCTTTATACAGATTTAGAATCATTGCATTCTATTTATAAACTCATTACACCCAATGTTGTTTGAACCTGCTAAAACACTTGGTGCGGATGAATAAAAGTGCTCAGTTTAACATTTCAGTTTTGTCTCAGGTATGAGCATTTTTATTTAAATTTTGATGCATTACATTTTACAAATCAAATAAAATAGGACAACAGATTTTCAACAAAAATATACTAATTTTACGGTTTTACCTGTTTACGACTTACAATTGTTTACCAAATTAGCTAGAATTGTTATTGGAATAACAGTGATACAAAGACAATTTGGGACATAATATAATGTATCAAGTGGTCAGTTTTACATGAGTCTACATACATGTATAGGAAAAGGGTTTAGATTTGGAATTTGATGGTCATTGTTTGAAATGATCTCATAATTGAAGTTATTTTACATAGACTTATTTCTAAAACTCTTTAAATCCCCATTGCCTGCCATTATAAATGGCTATCAATATGACTTTACTGAAGTGTCCTTTTTTCAAAATGTCCACTATGAAATTTTCAAATATTGCAGATTTCTATTGCTAATATATTGACGTCAAAAAACAAACAGGCACATTTCTAAAGATTTCTTAACCCGCTTTGCTCAGCAGGATTCCACAAAAATATGACAGCTGGAAAAACACACCTGTAGAATCCCGACAGTTTGATTGTAATGGTGCTGTTCCATCAGCGATGTAGAATACAGGGCAGCTATGGGACTGTCAATGTTCTTCATGCCCATGTTGTTGTATCCCCTATGGTCCAAATCATGGCAGATAGCTCCTATGAACAGACCAAGGGCCTAAAATATGATAAAATCTATTATTATACATAAGATAAATTTTTGTTATGTTTTCTTTCTTTATTATCCTAACTACAATTTCTTAATTCTAACTTTTATAATTTCAACAATTTAGTTCTACTACTGGTAAGATCATATATTTTTTATTCTTCTATTTATTTTTCTGAATCTATCTTCTCAATTGTTACTTTCACTTTTATCCCTTCATCGATCTCAGCACATCATAGAATCTTCCACTTCAGAACCAAACAATATGCTCTCAGAATAACAGATGAGTTTGAAGAGGTAAATCGGACTAGTTGGATTTTCTATTCTGTTCTATTCCATTATAGCCGCCTATTATTCTGAGAGATCACCATTGGCAATTGTAAAATGACAGGGTTCCTACATCATCCTGATTTATCAAAACTCCTTAACTTTTCCCGAATTTAAGTATGTAATTCCCTAACCAAATGCCCATCAACATACATGTATCATGAATGCAGACAATACCCAAAATTAAAATGGAAATAAAATCATGTGTATAAGGAAAGGATTTCAGCAATTAAGACAATCCCAAAAATTAATTTGGAATAAAAAATAAAAATCGAGGCAGGATATATTTTCAGCAAAGAAGGGCTACTTAAGACCAACACGACAACTAAGACCAACTATAAAATCAATGCATGGCTTACTCTACAAGGATACCTGTAGCTCAGTGAATGTGCCATTGGGCATGGTACGTATCAGTATACAGTAGACACAGTGAGCAACATTGAACCCATGGTGCCAGTTGTGGTAGGCCACAGGTCGGTAGTTCTTCCTCACTGTTAGCACAAAACGACATAGCTTTGACAGACTAAAGCTGAAATCAGTAGATATGTATAACTATACAGGGCTAACACAGATTTGGACAATGAATGAAATTCTCTGACAATTCTATAACTACATGTATAATTCAATCTCATTCAGTCATTTGTCCCTGGTCATGATGAACTAACTAATGGCAATTTTGGAATGGAATAACAGAAATTGATATTTTTTGTTTAAAAGAATACTGAGCAGAAATAAGCCGAAGATTTTTATTTATTTCATTTTGCTCTTGTCAAATGGCGTCATATTTGATATTTTTGTATATTTTTTATTTGTGATTTTTATAAATTTATTCACAGTTCTGCATGTAATTTTAAAAATCTCAAACTTTGTGAACATTATACTCCAGTCCATTGAGAAAGCTGATGCGCAGGACAATGTTTTCCAAGATCCTGTAAATTAGAGTGCATGTGTACTTACAGGCCTGCTCCAAAGAGGTTTGTGGTCATCATGAGAAACAACTGGGGGAGGTCTTTGTCATACTCCTTGCCATAAAATTCATACCTAAATAAATAGACCAATCGGATCCTTGTTTAACTTAACTTCTTTCACCAGTGATTTTTTTATTTGTTGCTTGCTTTTGCCATATTTTTATCTTAATGTTTGATGTTCATTTTGATAATATTATTGAGCATAGAAACAACATGCATTTTAATAATTATATTGTATAAACAATAAGTACTTTGTAAATGTATATAAATCAAAATAAGGGATGATGTCTAATATTCAGCACTTGTAGAAAGTGAAATTAGAGAGGTTAAGCAAATACGGTTTTTCAAAACGTATACGTAAACGCAAAGTACATTGAATCAACATAGGATTGTATCGCTTTAGTCTACTTCAGATACCCGTTCAACTTCAAAGTTGCGTGTTTAGAACGGGAGATTTACATATTTCACGTTGCTATCAACGGGAATCATTATACTCATGTCTGTTGAATACTATCCTTGCAATTTTGATTTCGATGCAGAGTATAATTCTTTCTGAAGAAGATGATGTATGTTACGCATGATTTAACTCCAATAATCTTACGAAACGAGCTCGTTTAAAATATGTATTAGAAAACCAGCTATTGAACTTCATCAATGGCATACTATGTAATCATTACAAGCTATGGTGTAGTCTAAACAAACACTAGAGCTGAACGGCTTTTTATGTGTGAACTCTACATGTATTTATATAGGGGCCATTGATACGTTTAAGTTGCGTTGTGGATTTTATACGGTAGCTTAACCTCTCCATTAACTTTATTGGGGGAGTGGGCTAATAATGAAGATTTCTTGCGAAAAATGTTGATGTTGAAATCAACTTTTTTGATTCAAGTTTTAATATACGGGGAAAGTGGGGTTAAACCATAACAAAATTAAGTGTCAAAACATTTTGACACAAAGCCTAAAGTACAGTAGTTAATAAAAAAAATACATCAATATTCATAACTTTCAATTTATTATCGGCAGTTACTCACTTTTCAATGTCACTTAAGGTGACCTTATTGGAAAATGGTTTGCTGAGTAATCGTCCAAATTCCTCCTCAGAAGCTTGTTGATGGTAGCTGAGTTGCTCTATTGCTATGGCGTGAATCATGGTCTGGTGATTCAGTGTGGAGTAAAGCTAAAATAGGAACACGATAAAAAATGTTCATTAGAGACAGTGGTAAGTTAATGGGAGAAGGGGGGGGGGTGTTGATATTCAAAGGACTTTTTGTTCCATTCTAAATCAGGCATTAACATGACAAAATGTTACCACCAAGTTGCTCACAATATTATGAGTTCAATCTTAGTCAGATTTGAACTTCTGAGAACTTGTAGATGTTTTGAAAAAGCTTTAACAAGACTCTGCATGCAGGGTAAAGTTTCCTTTTTTCTGGCTTCAATTTGGCCTAGATTTTAAGATGTTGGAAGTAAAAGGTCAATTTACAATATGCTTCAAACAGACCTAAATTTTAATGAAAATCATTGACAAGATACTAGGAGGTCATATTTTATTTTTTAGAGATATTGGGATTTGACTTATCCTTTACCTTCAATGACCTAATATGAAAATTAAAAGGTCAGTGACCTACAGTAAGTACCAAAGCTGTTTTCTAAGTTTCTCAAGTTCCTTTTTTGACTGTGTATTTGAATTCTTTGCAATTAATATTTCATATTACAAGGTGATCCACAACATGTACAGTAAAGTGCATATCGACCATCTGAAATCATATTTGCCCTTTTGTAGAGATTCCATTGCCTTACTGCTGCGGAATCAATTTTATTGTCTCTCTTTATCTATGAGCTTATTAATGTGAGCTGTGAACACAACCAATATATAGAGTTACCTTAGAAAGATACAAAGCCATGGCACAATATACTGCAAAGGTTTCAAAGTTTTTCTCATCAATGCTTGAGAATCCCTGCTCTTCATGGCCAACCTTGTTTACCATTTGTACCACCCCCGTCACCTTCTTCTTGCTTATGATAGGCATTGTCAACAGGTTCTTGGTGGTGTAGCCCGTCAGCTTATCAACATCCCTGAGAAATAAAGCAACAAATTCTCTTGTACAGGGACATAGCCACGATCCAAAAAGATGAAGCAAGTTTAAATAGGCAAGGCAAAACTAAGCAAAAGAGGAAAACATAGCTTTCTCACACAGCCATCTCGGACAGTTCTGAAGGAATCTTTTTGGCTACAATACGGTATCATAAAATGTGTGCCATAAAAAACTGTAGAATAAAATAGTACCGTGAACACTGTACCATGAACACATACTCAATGGATATTTAAAGTATGGTACCATACACTGCCTTGATTGCAGATTGGGGTGCACTATGGTATATATATTTCAGTAGAGTATTAGTAAAATAACTCCAAAAATATTTTTTTCTCTATAGTTTTGGTGCAGGAAGTTGCTCAGCCTGCCTCATTATCATAGCTTGCTACAGCCACATTGTACATACCTGTTAAATCGAGGATCTTGGTAAGCATCTTTAATGTTCACAACTTCAGCTGTCCTTGCCACATGGCCACTGATGCCTTTACTAGTAGAAAACCTAGGAAACAAATGTGTATTGACGTTAAATGGTATCTAGAACTGGGTGTTCTGAGGAGAACCATTCACAAAATGGGATGGAAATATTAAATGGGTATACACCCCATGCAGACAGATCGCCTTAAATTACATTTGGATGATACGATCATACGAGACTCGACATTCACCAGGAAAGAAGAAACATTTTGTAACCCATGAAGCGAATTAATTTTTTACTGCTTAATAAATGGTCAATGATAGTCACATTGAGTTCTATAAGTATAAGAATAGCATGACGTCGTGATATTTCAAGGTAACTCGTTCGAAAAGTGATGCTGGTGATTGAAATTATGATGTAAAGATAAAACTGTATTAACAATAGCATTAAACTGCAAGAAAAAATAATATTAACCTCACAAAACAACAAGAAAGCCACAAAAATGAGAAACAGTCCAGTATAAGTACATACCTAATCTTTTTCTTTGTGAATCTATTCTCTCCCTTTTCAGCTCCTTCATCGAACAATTCACAATACAGCTCATCCTTCTCTTCATCCACTAGGAACATTGCACATCTGTCAGCATTAACTAGGTCCTTAGTAAAGCTCTGAAGCAACATTGTGATTGATCAGTGTCACATTTTCTATAATGCTTGAGAAAGACTGTCTGCTACAGTGGATAAAACAGGCTGTGATTCCACAATGCTGAAACAACCACAGCCACAGGATGGCTTGGGAAACTCACCAGCTTTGAGGCAACTTAGTGCTCCACCAAGCTTGGGAGTTGGAATTCACTTTGATTAAAAATTAGTTTGTATCAGTTAAGAATTTAAAAGATCAATGTCAGGACCTTAGTACCTGGGTTTTGTATTCTTTGGCCAAATTAGGTGATTCAATAAAACATTGATAAAATGAGTAATGAAAAAATCAAAGGAATTTACATGTAATACAAAAATAAGACAATGAAACCAGCCAACGGTGGGCTCTCAGATATACTTACCATTATATTTGAGACCAACTTTTCCATGGAAATAATGTCCTCAAAAATGATTCTAAAATATAAATAAACAGATTATCAATGAGATTAATGAAATCCAAACATCAGTTATTTATAAAGATTGAAGAAAAATTCGTGGGTAAAGCTATCATTGTCAAGAAAACAGGATTACCAAAAGCCATTGATTTTTCTAAATGAAGGGTGTAAATCTTTTCACAAAGTTGATATCTCGAGCAGAATATATCCTGTATTGAATTAATAAATTACTACTGGTACCAATATCCAAAATTCTGAAGTAAATCAGGAAATCACAAAATAATTCAAAATTCTAAAAGATTACATGCACGATTGCACATGTTTTACGGTAACCAATTTATGCAGACTACAACACAATGTGCGCAAAGTTGATATGATTTGATTTGAAAACTATATTTATTCTGGGTAGCTCTATCAGTACAAAAACTGGTCTCCCTAGAGGCCCAGTATTAAATTTTATAATTATTTACAATTCATTAAAAATCAAGACTTTACTTACTTGAAAACCTCAAGAAGAAAGTTGTTCAGATCTCCCTGCTTCATGAGCCCTCTATTGATCTGCCCTTGGTAGATGGCAGCACTTGACCATGCAACCATAGCTGTAGCTGTCTGAAATAAGAGAGTTTGAATGGTAAAAACAAATTATTAAGCAAGAAGAAAATGTCAAGCAAATAAAAATAAAATGCATAACATTATCAGCTTCTACAGAAATGTGATGTCTGATAATAATAGACAAGGCAATAACATGCAAAATGTCATCACCTTCCATTTGTTACAGCTGCGATCGCAGTGCACCAACCACCAAACACCGTCCACAAAAAAGTTTTGGTGGTAAAATAAAGATTGTACACAAAACTCTTAAAATCTTTCAAATTAGTCAGAATATGTTACTTTTATATAAGTCTAGATAAATTAATTAGAAACATTTTAAATAAGTGATTCTCACCTGAAGATCCATTTCACCAAATGGTTTACTTTCCCAAGTCCTGGAAAATTCAGCAACTCCTACAAAATATGTGAATTTCATTTTCAATGGCGCGCTGCTTACTTTTCAACGGCACACTGTTACGTTTCCAATATACAGGGTGTTCAAAAAAAAAAAAAACCCAAAGAAATAGCTATATCTTGAAAAGTACTAATCCAATTGTGTTCATTTAGACTGTGTGTGTATAGCTCCTGCTGTTAGTTGTAAAACATCATGCCTTTGACACCTGCTCAAAAGACATTAGTATTAGAAAGATACGAAAAACGCAGTCAGAGGTGACTGCCAGAGCAATAAACCCTAATAACTTTCTAATCATGGTGTTTTGGCACTTCAGATTCTACACAAATTATCTACATATAATGTGTAGTGAATAAGGGGAGTTTCATTAAAATCACTCTAGGGACTTAACAGTTATGGTCAAAATGCCTTCTTAAGTCTGACTGAACCAGGGTGTTTGACTGAATTTTGAAAGCATTTCGACCAAAACTGTAAAGTCCCTGGAGTGATTTTGATTTCACTCTACAGATTTATCATACATTGAATGAAGATGATTTGTGCCAAATTTGAATAGCCAAAACACTATGGTTAGAAAGTTATTTGGTTTTATTGCTGTGGCAGTTGTCTCTGACTGCATTTTTCGTATCTTTCTAATACTAATGTCTTTTGAGCAGTTTCCAAGGCATCATGTTTTACAACTTACTAACAACATGAGCTATATATACACAGTCTCTTCTTTCTTTCCTGAGAAAATGAACACAATATCCCAGATGCGAGTAGAAATAATCTTGATTTATGTCATTAAAAATTCACAATTCAGTTAAACTGATGTCATATTTCGAATCTACATGTAAAATTACATTTAGAAATGTGGTTTTGAAAAGAGTTTATCAACTTTGAAAATTCAATTTTCTTTAAAAATGTGACTTCTAGGTCGGGGAGATTCCCCATAGACCCCATGTTGTAAAACCACAAAAAGTGAAATATCTTTTCTTGTGTTGGGCAGATAATATTTTCTTTTACTGGACATATTTTAATTTGTATAACTATCAGATACATAAGGGTAATATGACAAGTGAACCACTAAAACTGATGCATATTCAAGTTTAAGGGAATTTTGTAATACCCTGCCATGTTAATTCCCCGAATCAGCCACCTGGTGGCGAAACTGGTAACTACCTACTCGCATCTGAGTAATTGGATAAGTATTTTCCAAAATATAGTGATTTCTTTGGGTTGCATTTTTTTTGAACACCCTATACAAAGTAAAACCTGTGAACAAGAAACGCTCTCCGAACTTAACAAAACTGTTCCTTCACTGGACAGGTGTTTCCATATAGAGAGGTTTGAACCTTACCCTACTATCACACCAAACTAGTTCTCACTACGTTCTTGAAAACGGTCTTAAACTGTGCACAAACAGATTTGACGTACTAAGAACCCACTAAGAACCGTTTGGGATCTGTTTACAAACTTCATGAAACTACTAGAACGAGTAGGTCCTCCAGCACTTAGAGCATGCTCAAAATTTTCTGGTGATCGTCAAAACGTTGCCGAATCGGTTTTAAACTGTGTGCGAACTGAATGAACGTAGCTACAATGTTCTACGGTCTGTTTACGAACTTCATGGACTTTCTCGGAGGGGGTATGTGATTTAGAATTTTGAATCGATTCAAAATTCGATGGCGACCATACCGTTCTGTAATCAGGTCATGATGACCTTCTAGACTAAGGGACAGTTTATACTACGTTGCACACCGACGTAGTGCGACCTGAACGAACTGCGAATGAGATGGGCGTATTGAAGACTGTTTATGAACGAAGTAGCTAATTATTTTAGACATATATCCCGACCGCAGCCAGATTGAGCCCGTTTTACGACATTTTTGTATGACTGGCAAGAACGGATAAGAACTAGTTTGGTGTGATAGGGGGGTTAGGCCTTCCAAAATTTCTGAATTTCAGAATTTTCAAAATTTGCAATAAAACATTGTTCCTTTTTCCCAGTTAACAGGGGCTCCATACAGAGAGGGTCTGTTATCATGTAAGTCAATGGGAAAATAGTTGTTCTTTTGAAAATTGTTAATTGTTGACAGGTGTTCCTTACAGAAAGGTGTTCGTTGGACAGGTTTTACTGTATCCTTTCAAAAGCACACTGTTATTTTTCAAATGATACACTGCTTTTTTCAATAGCATTTTGGAAAGATGTTCCCTAAGCTTTTTACTGAACTTGCATGTATCTTATTCTTACCTTCATTATCATCATGATACACTGATCTTTTCAATAGCATTTAGGATAGGTGTTTCCTACTGAACTTGCTGTATCTTACCTACAATATCATCATGGGGTATTATGATAGGAATGCACAACACAGACTGAGCACTGCTTCCCTCTATTCCAGTGCCTTTGGGGAACCTTTCATCCTGTAAAGAAACCTCATAGCATTGTGAACTGAAGACATTGGAGCCCAAATCAAAATACCTAGGATAATGTTTTAGTACGAGTAAATGTACATCTTTAGATCTCTATTGTATACTTTATCTAATAGTCACATAATTAATTACATTTGTATAACTTAAACTAATCAAGTAAGAGGATCTTGGAGTGGGAAGCGATATAAGCAGATCAAAACAGTTTTTTTATTACAGTCCCTGGATTTTTTTATGACATTTTCATTTCAGGGTAATTACTGTAATTCTCATCTTAAATTTTATTCAGAATGATGTGGAACTCACACAATGAATAAACTTTGAGATCAATTTTCTTTTCCGAAAATATCAAAGTTTGAAAAGGCTTCTGGGGAATAAAAAGTGGGGAATGACTTGACTTACACTCCCCTCTATAAGTTTGGCAACAAAAAGTCTCTTATTGTATCATGACTTAGGAAAGCTTGTTTATGTTTGGCAATTTAAAAAAACCAGAACAACGGCAACGCCAAAGCGTAGCGAATCCCATCGAACAGAAATGGCTGGCATTTTTACAAACGAATAGCAAATATCATAAAACAACACACCAGAAAGGCCACCATTTTCAAAATGGTTGCTCACTAGCCAAGTTGTCATCAGAAGAAATAATATGCTTTTAAGTAGCCACCTCTAAAATTTTTGAAAAATCATACATGTACTTGTAAAATAACACACATAAAAATGGTGGCCATTTTTCGAAATGGCCGACTACTCCCCAAAGTTTTATTAGACAATGTGCCATGCTTAAAGCATTCACATATCAAATATGAACAAAATCGCTCCACTACTTTTCGAGTTATAGAAAAAATACGTTAAAATGGCGGCCATTTTTCAAAATGGCCACCTTCTACCAAAAGTGTCATTAGAAATAGACAGTGTGCCATTCTTATAGTATTCACATACCAAATATAAACAAAATCGCTCTACTACTTTTCGAGTTATAGTAAAAAAAAGTTAGAATGGCGGCCATTTTTCCAATTTTTTTTCAAAATGGCCACCTTCTACCAAAAGTGTCATAGGACAGTGTGCCATGCTTATAGTATTCACATACCAAATATGAACAAAATCGCTCCACTACTTTTCTAGTTATAGTAAAATATGTTAAAATGGTGGCCATTTTTCAATTTTTTTTTCAAAATGGCCACCTTCTACCCAAAGTGTCATAGGACAGTGTGTCATGCTTATAGTATTCACATACCAAATATGAACAAAATCGCTCCACTACTTTTCGAGTAATAGCAAAATACGTTAAAATGGCGGCCATTTTTCAAAATTTTTTTCAAAATGGCCGCCTTCTACCAAAAGTGTCATAGGACAGTGTGCCATGCTTATAGTATTCACATACCAAATATGAACAAAATCGCTCCACTACTTTTCGAGTTATAGTAAAATACGTTAAAATGGTGGCCATTTTTCAATTTTTTTTCAAAATGGCCGCCTTCTACCAAAAGTGTCTTTAGAACGTGTGCAATGCTTATAATATTCACATACCAAATATGAACAAAATCGCTCCACTATTTTTTGAGTTACAGCAAAAATCGTAAAATGACGAGTAAAGGCCGCCATTTTTCAAGATGGCTGCCATGTGCTTCTTTAATATCTACATTTGTAGCATTATTAATGTCCTTTATAATTTTTTTACATTTAAAACATATTGCTATTACAGTTTTACATATTGCACCTAAATTACTGTAAAATCGGCACTAAAATGGCCACCATTTTGAAATGAGTGGCCATTTTGAAAATCGGCTTTTGAGCAGAACTTCTACCCCCATAGGGTATATGTGTACAAAATATGAACAAAATCGGGCCAACGGTATTTGAGTTATTGCCCGGACGGACGGACGGACGGACAGACGGACGGACGGACGGACGGACGGACGTACGGACGGACGGACGGACGTACGTACGGACGGACGGAGGCGTTCCCTATATCTCTCCGAACTTCGTTCGATGGGATAATCAGCAAATTTGTCATAAATTTCTAAACAATTGTAATTACGGAACAAAATTAAGATTCAAACATCGACACTTTGACAGGTTTTGATCACGTGTGATGTGCTATCCAATGAAAACTTTTGGGTGCCGGACATATGCACAAGAATGAAATCCAGGATTATCACTTTAGTCTTACCCCTAGTATATCTCTGAGGAGAATTGTCTTCTTGGTCTTTGCTACATGTGCAGAAATGGTTGTACCACCTCCTACAGGGCCACAGACTTTAAAACGGCTTTCCCTACAAAAGAACATGACACTTTAAATAGAAATCTGGATAATAAAAAATATGATTTGTTTTAACCTGATCATGTGCTGTATGGTTTCATTTTCAGATTTTCAAACATGCTTCTATTTAAAAAAGGAACTCGCAAGTTCATGAATATGTATAAACTACAAAAGGCATATTGGCATAATCTGAGGCTTCTGTCAAGACAGCTGTGTAAGTTCATAGAAAGGGTGAATATTTGTTAAATGTACTTCCTTATGCATTTATTTTAAATAGATTACATTCAATGTAGTTCCTTATGCATTTATTTTAAATAGATTACATTCAATGTAGTTCATTATGCATTTATTTTCAATAAACTACATTCAATGTAGTTCCTTATGCATTTATTTTAAATAGATTACATTCAATGTAGTTCATTATGCATTTATTTTCAATAAACTACATTCAATGTAGTTCCTTATGCATTTATTTTAAATAGATTACATTCAATGTAGTTCATTATGCATTTATTTTCAATAAACTACATTCAATGTAGTTCCTTATGCATTTATTTTCAACAAACTACATTCAATGTAGTTCCTTATGCATTTATTTTCAATAAACATCATTCAATGTAGTTCCTTATGCATTTATTTTCAATAAACTACATTCAATGTAGTTCCTTAAGCATTTATTCTAAATAAACTACATTCAATGTAGTTCCTTAAGCATTTATTTTCAATAAACTACATTCAATGTAGTTCCTTATGCATTTATTTTCAATAAACTACATTCAATGTAGTTCCTTATGCATTTATTTTCAATAAACTACATTCAATGTAGTTCCTTATGCATTTATTTTCAATAAACTACATTCAATGTAGTTCCTTATGCATTTATTTTCAATAAACTACATTCAATGTAGTTCCTTATGCATTTATTTTCAATAAACTACATTCAATGTAGTTCCTTAAGCATTTATTCTAAATAAACTACACGGCTCATGTAACATTTACAGCCACAGTTCACCAGCTCACCTGGCTCCATTGGGTCTGAATAAACATACATCCTAAAAAAACAAAACCAAGAAATGTTATAATTCATACAAAGCATTACATGCAAAATGTCACCACCTGCTATTTGTTACAAATGCTGACTGCCAAACACCAACTGCCAAACTCCAATCGCTGAACACCATTCACAAAAAGTTGGAGACTAACAATATGTCACCACTTCCGGAAGTGACATAAAAAAATGAATTACAAAGTATAAAATGTTAATTTACCTAGTACTCTACCTGAAAAATAAGTCAAAGCTGGTCTTATTTGTTTGATTGATTCTCATGGAAGTATGGGTGCAAATTACCAATTTAACTACAAATGATTAAAATTATTGCCATATTTTGTTCATTAATTAGAATAAATAAACAAGCAAAGTAACTATCTAAAAACTTACATGTGCACTGTTGGCCAATATGTATAGTGCAAAACAATCAGATTTAATAGCTGAAAAGATGAAAAAAAATTATCCATAATCTCAAAAATTTCACCAGACAGGATCACCAGACAGGATCACCAGATTTGTCCCCTCTGGGGGATCATGCTATTTTTCGTAAAAGTACTAAGAAAATGTCACTTTTGATCCCAATTTAATATTGAACTCAGATATTATGTTCTACCTGACTAAAATATATGTTTTCATTTTTACCTTTTTAATGTTACTTAACCTCTTGAATACCCAGAGTGACGGATATATCCGTCACAAATGAAATAAGACTGGTGCCCAGAGGGACGAGAAAATCCGTCACAAAATTCTTCACAAAAATTGCTCTCATTTGAACAATTTTCATCCAATTTACACAAAAATTGTTTTAAAACGTGTAGAAATGATCTCTGCCGTCCAATTTTACATAGCTGAGCATCTAAAGTTGTATAAGTATGTAATAAAAGGTCAAAAGGTGGCAAAAAATGAAAAATTCTCTGGTTTCATGCCAATTTTAGAGCCTGGGATTCAAGAGGTTAATGAGACCTAGAGGTCCTTTTATTTTTTCTTCAAAAGATGATGTTAATTTCTTGTTTTCTATGGGGGATATCTGCTATGGGGATCAGGTTCAAATATGAAATTAAATTAATGAGATGAAACTTTTTATATACCTGTGGCTGTGGTGTTTGTGATGTCATAGAGCATCTGGGAGATGTCACATGTTGTACTTAATGTCATAACAAGATTGTTGGTTACGGTTGTCATATCTTTATTTAGGTACTGGAAAACATGTTTTTTAAAAGACAGCAATTTAAAAAATGTGTCATCCAGAAACACTATGAATGTTTATCTCTTAATACACAATTGCCACCAATGTTTTTCAACTTCGGCAGTCACTACATGCAGTGATCTCCCCAGCATTAAAGCAAGTGGGCGCAGCACCCACCTGAGATTTTGAAAATAGGCTTGCACCCACCTGAAAATCCATTAGCACCCACTTGAAAATGAGAAAAATCATGAAAAATTGGCATATTTTGACCAATTTTTATCTGAATTGTGAAAATGAGAATTTTGCACCCACCTGAGAAAAAATCCTGGGGAGATCACTGACATGTGTAATTTGTATGTACTAAAATTGAATAAAGAAGAATAAAAAAAAATAAAAAAAACACAATTGGATTTTAGAGTACAATGTACATTGTAAGCTCCTAAATGACTGACAAGGCTTTCCATTAATTTTGAGATCTCTAACTTTGAATATATTTTATTATTTCCAAATAATAGGTATTGAGTAGTAGATCACAAATACCAAATTACTTCTGATCATATCTAATTGGAGAGACACTGTGAGAGACATCACTACATCCTATATCCTTTTATATCATGTATATTTCTGTATAGTATTATATGCACTATTTTGTATGGATATGTATATGAAATCAGAAATAAATTTATTTATAAAAAAAAAAAAATCACTACATTAGATAATTGTCACAAACTTACAGCTTCATTGGAATTTGGAACATGCTCGTATTGACTATCAGTGCGCTTGGGGGCATGTTCTTTTTTCTTTGCCATCCATTCTTCTAGTTTTGCACTACTCACAAGGTTGATCACATATTCATCAAGTACTCCAGGGTGAGTAGAAAGATATGTTTGTACCTTGTCTGGTGTCAGAGCTGAAACCAAATCAGAATTTAATAAGATTGACAGTTTAGACTAATTTACATCTTTGTGCTATAATCTGGCTTTAATTGGTTTTTATTATAGACTTGAAATGCTTTCCATCCCAAATTATTTTTTCTAAATGACTTTTAGTTGAATTTGAAAACCTGCTGAAATCTCCACTTTGGAGGTTTAGTGTATAAAGCCCCCAAAAACACCAAAAGGTGAGGGTAATACATATCCAAATGAAATCTCGATTGCATGACCTACATGTATTATCAGAAGATCCTGTAATGACCTTTTTCATACCCCGGGGCCCAGAGGTCCCCTCTTGTCATTACAATCACATGAAAATTAGTAATTGTTCAACCTTTCCATCGCAATTGATGGGCTTTGCTAAGTGTATTCATGGGACTCACTGGGATCTCAACAGGGTTTATCCCATTGACCAACTCATGTCCCCTGGGGCAAAATCTCATTTTGTCACACATGCAGTGAGTTGATAGTGTATGGAGGCCTCACCTTCCCCATCGGCTTTTGTTGGGCTTATAGCGTACAGTGAGAGGGGGAAAAACCCTAGGGTTCAAAGAACCTGTCTATAACGTATGTGTATTGAGAAGACATTGTAGCTTATTGGTCAAATCGACAAACAAATAATGTCATTTAATGACAGTTTCAAAATTTTCTAAATACAATTTGAATGATATCATGTTTATCATGTAAATCATGGCCTACCATACCTTGTTATTTTCCAACATAGATTTTTAAGTAAAGAAAGATGTAAGGCCTTATTTTTTAATTTTAGGCCAAATTTTGAAGAAAATGGGCCTCAAGATTTGGGCCCACTTTTAGGTTTTAGGGGCCGAAAATTTTGTTCTTTGAAGTTTTCCCTCCTCTTGCTAACATTGTTATACTCACTCAAAAATGAATTCATTTCCTTTGAGATGCTTGAATTGAGTGATGTCATGAATGATAGTGATTGTTGAGAACCTGGGCAGAGATTAGACAGGCTGTCCATTGTACGCCTCCTAGTCGAATTATGAGTGTTAGAAGAACCGGGTAAAGGCGGTAGCCTTCGATGGGCCACTTGTTTAGATGCAAAAGACATATTTGAAATTTCTCTTGCAGATCATTGGCAATCACATTTTCAGTTTTGAAATTCCCGCTCGAGAGTACGGCCGATTCACAGCGTTCGAGCAGACTATGGGACTACTTCTAATTCTTCAAGGATATGTCAGGGACATCACTTTGCTTTTCATTTTATAATATGATAGGAATGTTATGTGGGAATGTTTGTCAAACGGGATCAAAAGTAACAAATATTTGAACTGACAAATAATAAGGGACTACTTTCTAGAAATGCGGAGGAATAAACAAAATCTCGCGAGAACAAACATGGCGCAAAATCTAAAAATGTCAAATTTTATCAAACTATCTGTTTTTTATCAGATTACCGTGTTTGTAAACCTTAAAACATAAGTAACGCCGTTTATTTGTTAAACGGAAGATATAACCCATGGTTTGTATCTAAGATTTATCAACTAGATTATCATAATTTCGTCATTGATTGACATTTGTCAATTTGCTTATTTTCCCGGGGTTGAAAATTATAATTATTTTATGTTGAAATCAATGAAATTGTGGTTTGAATTATGATATAATTATGGCTGATAGATGTCAGTTGATTCAAGTTCCTTGTCTCACTTGCTCTACTTGCTACAGTACATCATGCACGTATCACTGTAGATCTGGTTGGTTGGTTAAGTCCATATATACGGTGCTATCATGTCACCTAATAGTCTCTGGTGCTGTTTTTTCAATGGTGCTTTACTCTTGTGACTGTCTCTAGTGTTTTTGTAGATTCTTTTTATTTTTATTTTTGTTTTTTCTTAAAATCACTAAAGTTCCTTAGCTTGTAACTTATTTACATTTAAAGTTTATATGAGTTAGACAATTAAAATCTTTTTGTTTTCATCAAGAAGGTTGTAAAAGCGTAGTTCAACCTTTTGTTGATGTCTGGTTTTAGAGTTTTGTTCAGACCTGACAGAGTCTTGATGTCCAATTCTGGGTTATATTCACTTTCTAGAAGAATACTATTAGCCTCATAAAATAGTCTCTCACGAATCTCGCTGTATTTGGAGCAGTGGTGTATGAAATGATCAATGGTCTCTATCCTTCCTATGTTCCTATTTATAAAAAAGGAGACAGGGAACTTGTCAGCAACTATAGACCGGTGACACTCTTAAGTAACCTTTCGAAAGTTCTTGAAACCATCATTCACAAACATCTTTTGGCTCATCTGCTTCAACACAACCTTTTATACAAATTCCAGAGTGGTTTTCTCCCGAAGCACAGCACCGTTAACCAGTTAATTAACATTGTTCACAATATCCATGAAAATATAGATAATAATAAATATGTCCGCTCAGCTTTTTTAGATTTAACAGCCGCTTTTGATTTAGTCCCGCATAGATTACTTATACAGAAACTTAAAGGCTATGGTTGTAATTTCAATTTTGTACAGCTAATGACATCATATTTAAAAGACAGAAGGATTCGAGCCAAAGTCAACAACAGCTTATCTGATTGGTCTTCTGAAAATTATGGAAATCTTAATAATGGAACAAATAACAATAATAATAACAATGATCACAATATAAATAACTATAAAATCAATGCAGGTGTACCTCAAGGATCAGTCCTCGGGCCCCTCCTATTTCTTATTTACATTAATGACTTACCAGATGATCTCCTATCCAAAACATTTATTTTTGCTGATGATACATCTATTTATAGTGCACATGACAGTTTTGATCAGATTTTAAACATTCACCAACCACTTCAAAGAGATCTTGACATTTTGGCAAATTGGGCCATGACTTGGAAGATGACTTTTAAGGCACAAAAAAGTGCTGACTTAACCTTTGTATCAGGAAATAGAAGACTATTACAAGAGCCAGTCCCTTTAAAACTAGGAGGAGATGTGATTCCTAGTTGCACCAAACACAAACACCTGGGCTTAGTACTTGATCAAAATCTAAACTTTAATTCACATGTTGACCAACTCATAGAGAGAGTAATCTCTCTCATGAGACCATTGAAAAAGTTAACTAAAATGCTAAACAGTAAATACCTAGAGAATATATATAATTCATTTATACTACCACATTTCGACTACTGTGATACAATATATGATAAGGCATCAACTTCAAAACTATTAACATTGGATAGACTTCATTATCAAGCAGCTTGCCATGTGTCAGGAGCAATACACGGTTCAAACACATCGAAAGTTTTATCATTACTCAACTGGAAAACGTTAGCTTCCAGGAGAGAAGAACATCTTAAAATTTTTGCTTTCAAGGCTAGATACCATTGTTTCCCTCCTTTCATTTGTGATTTAGTTAGTTCATACGAGAATATTCCAAATCGGCCCCTAAGACAACCAAGGCATTATAGAATACCCTTTCCAATCAGTAATTCGTTCAAAAAGTCAACCATTATCAGGGCTATGACCCTGTGGGATGACATACCATATGAAGACAGGAAAGGCCAACCAATATCTAGATTTAAAAGGTTAGTAAGAGGAAATATGAGCCCTGACTCCAGAGTATCCACTACTAAAATGAATATGACAATGCCAAGGAAAATTGAAATTCTGTTCAATAGATTTAGAGCTGGACTGATTCTAAAAGCACATTTATATTCCCATAACTTTGTGACAGTAAATGACCCTTTCTGCGTATGTGGTGACATACAACAAACAACGCATCACTTTTTATTAAACTGCCCTCTGCTGCAACAAGAAAGATGCACTCTCCTAGCAGGACTAAAAACCTTAGGATTTTTCAATCGTTTCCAAAATTTAAACTCTCATGAAAAAATTCAATTTTTATTATTTGGAGACAGAAATCTCACTGTAACTGATAATGAACAAATTATTCATATAGTTAGCCACTACATCTGCCAGGCTCTTGATATTTTAGATTAACCCCCCCCCCCCCCCTGAAAGCCTCTAACATTCCCTGCCATTAATATTATGTACCTTATCTATTGTATTTTCATTGTTTCCATTTTTATATGTTTTGTATATTGCCGACAATGTTGAAAAACGTAGGCAATAATATTGTAATGTATTTTATGTTATATTTGGAATAAATGAGAAATGAAAAAAAAAAAAAAAAAAAAAAATGGTCTCTATCCTGTCACAGTTGTGGCACTTGTCTGAAGGGAGTATGGGATTGATTTTCTTTAGGTGGCTATTGAGCTTTGTATGGCCACTTAACATTTGGTTTGTAATACAGAATGTTTTCCTGTTTTTCTCTCCCAGGATAGCCCTGGTTCCAACTTTTTCTATTGATCGCTGTATGTGGCTAACTTTTTTGGAATTATTATATTGTCTCTGCCACTTTGTCTGGACAGATTTATTGATCAAGCTGTATATATGCTGTTTGTTTATTTTAGCCTCAGCGTATTTTCCGCTTTTTGCAACTAATGCTGCCCGTTTAGCGTGACTGTCAGCCAGTTCATTGCCTTTGACATCAACGTGTCCTGGAACCCAATAGTATTTGATTGACAGACCTTTTTGTCTGATTGTTTTGCATGAGTTGCGAATATTTATGACTGTGTTAAGCTCATTTTTTGGAACCTTTTGGATCTATATTTACCTCCCATGTATTTCCGACATTTACATGTATCCTCATTTGCTACTGCTTTAGAGAAAAACAAAAACTATTAATGAAATCAGATCGCTTACCATGCCATCTTTATTTAAAATTAATATTTCTAACGACCTTTGCCCATGGAATTAAATCTAGGGCTTTCATATGCCAGGTGGGAAACAAAGACACATAAGTATAATGCATCTGGGATCTTCAGGACTTACATTATTCTTTTAGAATGATGTCTTTGTTGGCTAAACGTGTAAGCTCCTGGTTGAAGAATCATTGTGGCGTGACAGTTCCAGAAGACTGGCTAGAGGCCTGTATAAACTGGATCCATGAAGAAAATGGAGTAAGAACATTATTTGTGGATCATATATTCAAATTAATTGTTATTTTTCAACTTGCTTCAATTTGACCAAATTTTTGAGGGGAAATCGTCTAAAAGTTGACAGGAGTTCAAATCTGACCTAAGTTTTGAGATTTGACCTTCAGTGACCTTTGAAAGGTAAAAAAAGTTGATTTTTCAAATTTATTATTTGGATCTACAGTTTGTCAGATAATGATTTTTTTCTGCTAACCTATGTATATTTTGGTCACCTTAATCACAAAAGACCTACTGAGCTCTTAAAATGTAAAATGTTCAAGGTCAAAGGTCCTCAAACTAGGTCACAAACTGTGCTATCTAAGTTTCTCTAAGTTCGAGACTACAAATCAAAATGAATAATTTTGTTTGAAAATCAGGATATACATTCCTCTGAAGGTTCTACACTGTGTGAGCACAGGACCGTGGGTCATTTATTTATTTACATCTCGTAAACTGATCATTATTCCAGGGCAATTTATCTGAACAAGCTGTCCAGGATATGGTTTTTGAACAATGGCTGGTCAGTGATTTAGCAGAGATAGGAGCAAACTGTTTACCTCCCTGTCTAGCTCAGGCAGACAAACTAATGCTGGAAGGAACATTCTCCCTTCAGGTAAAGAAGTATATTACACAGTGAGTCCAGTGCACAGGCCCAGTGAATGGGTATATTCATTTAATAGGACCCATCATTTTCCCTATACTGTACACTAGATTGCTTGTTACAAATTTATCATTGTGAGTGGGTTATAATTTAGTGGAACCAAACAATGAGTAATTGACCATTCCAGATAAGAATTTTTCAATATAAAATGTATGGCATCTTATAAAAAGGCGTTTTAAATGACTTGAGCTGTATAAATAACTTGTACTGCTATGTTTTAGATATTTGTGGCTATGTTTTATCTGGATTATGACCATATTGTTCAAACCATCCCAAAAATAAAGCTGTTTTCTCCAGGATTTTTACTGAATGCTCAAGAGGAGACAAATTTCTCATTTTCAAAATTGGTCAAAATATGCCAATTTTTCAAGTTCAAGGGCAATTTTTTATAAAAATTCAAGTAGGTTGGAGCTCTCAGCGTTTTTTTTGCAGATGAACTCTGTGCTCGATGTGAGTGTCCCTGTGTATACCCAACTGCAGAAGTTAAAAGGAACAGAAAATGCCAACACTTTGGTCTCAGCCACCCAGCCTACTCAGCCTCCGGTAAGAATTCCCATGACCTCAATGAACATAAACAATGGATATGGTAAAGTCCTTAGACCACCAGTCTATTTTGAGTAATAATTCATGTCAATGGATCTCTCTTGTTCAAATTTTGTGCAAAGTTGTTCGTTTAAGTTAACCACTGTTGGAATACCATCAAATAATAACCAATACTATGTTCTCAGCCACCAGTAGAGGATTTGTGGCAGGAGAGAAGAAAAACCTTCCATCATGCATTGGCGTTAAGATAGCATTACTTTTGATTGGTCTAAAATGAAAATCATTTGCAAAATTTTGATTGCTGGGTGAATCAATACTTCAAATAATAAAATATCAATACAAGCATTATGACATAATATTTTGACAGGAATGAATATGTTTATTATTATGGTGTTAAAAAACTAAGTTGATGTGTGATAGTTATTTAAAAGTTATGTGACATGAAATGTCATTAAATGTAATCACATTTTGATGTTTCCCCTTTTAGCAATTGTGCTTATGTATTTCAGTGGGAGGCGAAACCATCAAGGATGTTGATGCTTCAGTTAACAGATGGAGAACAGGAAGTCCAGGGTATGGAATATAAGCCAATTAGAGACCTCAACACAAACTTAACACCAGGATGTAAGGTACATGTAGGATAGACATCTTCACAAATTTTCAGCTTTGTAATATTTTATTCATTAACCAAATTTTTCTCCTGAAACAAATTGGCTAAAATGTTTTTATTTTCCTATCAAAACCTACATAGTTTTTTTTTATTTTTATTAATCAACCCCATAAGGTATTTAAAGTGTTACCGACTCTCATCCTAATTTCTGGTGTTGTTCGTTGATTATAGATGGTGGTAAAAGGACCTGTTTTGTGTAGGAAAGGTGTAATGATGCTAACTGCCAACAATCTACGAGTATTAGGGGGAGAATCAGATGCCCAGATTGAGGAGAATACTCAGGAGAAAGTACTCGCCAGAAAGATGTAAAATATCAGTACTCTAAACTAGTGTTGTCGCGATTAATCGATACATCGCGATATACATCGCCAAAGCTGGTTCTGGCGATGCATCGATGTCTGAAACAAAACATCGATGTTTTTAAAAAACTAAAAATCGCCCTTTCTTATCTTATTTTGACGCAAATTGCTTACCTTTTTTCATGTCTTATTTCATTTTCAAATGTTTTCTGATATTCTTTCGCTTTAAAACTGTTTTAGCTAGTCGAAATGAACCATTAATCTAAAAAAATTACTTTACTTTCATTTCACCGTTACTATGTTCCCGGATGTAATTTGTTCTGTTCGATATTTTAGTGCATAAGCGTTCGGTATTTCAGTGCACTTTTCTCGAACTTTTTCTCGATGTACATCGCGATATGCATCGATGTTTACTACTGAAAATTGCCGATGCATCGATGTACGATTATGGCACATCGCGACAACACTACTCTAAACCAGGGCTGTTCCATTTGAAAATGTGGAGAAGGGGCTGGTCCAGAACATTAGAGGTTGAGGTTTGCAAAGTCCAACCTAAAATTGGGGTTAATTAATCAAAGATAAAAACTTAAATGTAGGGCATGTAGGGGAGGGTCATCAAAAGCACCCTAAACAATAAACATGGGTCTAGTTCCTGAGAGAAAATCTTAATTGAAATCCCTTAAACAGTTTGTAAGTGTTATGTGTATTATATAGAGGAGGTGGTAAAAACTTTCATGGCTGCCTCTTCCCCACAGTTTAAATGGAATAGGCCTAAACGTTTTAAGTAGTATATGTTGAAAGATGGGTTTCAGTTCAACAGTTTTTTTTGTTGTAAAATATCATTCCTTGGGCATATTATTAGTATGTTCCAAAAAGGCCACACAGTGAGCTCTATACAGTTAAAGCTAGTCTCTGTATCGGAGTGGATGAAAGAATCTCCCCAGAGAAGTCAGTGCACAATTCTTCATTTTACAATTTAGACCAAAATTTGATCCAAAATGCCTAGTTTGAGTTTTCTCAATTTCAAGTGGGTGCAAATGGATTCTCAGGTGGGTGCAAGCCAATTTTACAATCTCAAGTGGGTGCAGCGCCCACTTGCTTTAATGCTGAGGAAATCACTGCTGTATCTTCTGAAGATGGGTTATTAAGAAGTATTGTAATTGCTATTGAAACTATGTTCACCTATCCATCCTCCAATTGATTTAACATTTACTTTTGGCTCTTTGTAGAAATGTAGATTTGGCTCACAGTACCCAGTTTAACATGAATAACAACAGAGTTCAGCACCAACAAAATAATAATACAAGGGACACTGAACAAATATCAATGCAATCTCAACCACCCAACAATAATGCACAGCCTATGAATACACAAGTACAATCAAGGAATACACAAGTACAACAAAGGAATACACAAGTGCAACCAAGGAATACACAAGTGCAACCAGGGAATACACAAGTTCAACAAAGGAATACACAAGTACAACAAAGAAATACAAAAGTACAACAAAGGAATACACAAGTGCAACCAGGGAATACACAAGTGCAACCAGGGAATACACAAGTACAACAAAGAAATACACAAGTACAACAAAGGAATACACAAGTGCAACCAGGAAATACACAAGTAGAACAAAGAAATACACAAGTACAACAAAGGAATACACAAGTGCAACAAAGAAATACACAAGTACAACCAGGGAATAAACAAGTACAACAAAGAAATACACAAATACAACAAAGGAATACACAAGTACAGCCAGGGAATATACAAAAACAAATAAGAAACAGTGTTAATACCAGAGACATTGATGAAATGGAGATTCCGGATGATGAGTTCTTGGACAATCTAGATGCTGATCAGTTCATGGATGATCAGGTTAGTTGCCAATTGTTGAAAACCGACTGACAAGGATTGTTTAAAACAAATCAAAATTGTGACAGACTGTTGATCTTAATTCTCTCATTATATATTTTTTACATATCGCTGCCCCTCACTTTATGTGATTCTTTGTACATAATTATGTGCTGATTATTCACATAATTCATTAAATTATGTAAACATTCAAATTAACTAGCAATTATTGTGATCTTGGCCATTCATTTTGAGTAGGTTTCTCAATAATTTGATAAGAACAAAAAAATACTGTAATAGATATATCCTTGCCCTTTCTAACCCATTGTCTCAGGCAATACTAGATATGTAAACAATCAATGAATATATGCCTAAAATGGTTATTTTTTAAACTTATTTCAGTGGGATGATGACATTGATGATGAGCTGCTTTTACAACAACCTGACACCCTCCCTGTTAACAACACTGCTAATCACAGTCTCGCGAAAGCTCAACCTGCGGTTACTAAATCATCTGTCCAACAATCTAGTCGGAAACCAACTAATCAGATCACATCCAATCCACTTGTAGTGAATATAAATGTTTATCAAAACCAGGAAAGTGTTAAGATGAAATCAAATATCAAAAATGACTCCATGATACCTAAACAGGAAGTTAAAGAGCTGCCATCTTTATTGGACCGTGTAAAATCAAATGTGACTGGAAGTGCTGCTTTAAAACAAACTCTCCCTTCGAAAATGAAAACTAGTCATTCGTCAACTTTACAGAGGCGTGAAATATTTCAAGCTCCTCAGATTAAATCAAGAGATACATTTAATATTGGAAGTGGTGCTCATTCTCACAGTGCCCTTGGAATCAAAACTGAAGCCTCGGAGCATGATAAGATAACTGCCCCTAATATCAAAATAGAAAACCCTGTAAGAATAAAATCTGAATTGGAGACAGCCACAACTCTTCAGACTTCTAATAAACAATATATTAATTATTCTACAATTATGGAAAGAGGACTGATCAGTAATTTGAGAGACAAGTATTTGGACATAGGTGGCGCTACTTCACAACCAAGAGAACCAGCTGCTAAAAAAGCAAGAAAATTACAAGGTAAACTGTTAAATCTCAGTTCAAAGCAACAATTTTACCACCTAAAGTTTTGGAGGGTAGCTTTAAAAACACATATTTACTAAAATGAGGAAAAATCCTCAATTTAAATTTAAAAATCATGATATTTCCCATTTAACTTTCAATGGTGATGATTTTCTACTCCTCATTTTGTTTTCAACCAAATTACACATTTATGGATATCGATTCAAAAGAAATGGATATTTTGCAGATTTGGATGCAGCACCTTATGTATATCTGTCCTATATTCACCAGACTCTCAGTCACCAAGCACAGACCCTGAACACAACAGTCAGAGTCAAGGTATGTGTTTAATTACTACAATTCTAATAATACATATGTATTCAAGTTGGCAATATGTTTGATTATTGTTACAATGCATGAATTTGAAATTTACTTTTTGCTTTTGTGAAGCAGATTATTCATATATGTTCTTTGTGTAACACAAATTAAATTTTCTCATTCTTTTCATTTTTGTGTGTGCAATTTTCTACATGTTCAAGTGCTTCCATATTTACAAAATCAAAATATCACATATATATATATAGAAACGAATATGTTTAATGATTATGGATATGTTTGTTCTCAAATTATTGAACAACATGTGTTATTTTCTTTCTTTATTCATGGAATAATTGATCTCATATGAATACACATGGGGAGGTCCCGCAAGATCGTGGTGAGATCAATCCAGTTATCGAATTCAGATTTCAATCAATCCAAAGTTCTGTTATATAACATGCAATGCATTGTTTGAAAACATTGACAATCAAAATACTGACAAAATGAAATATTTTTTTGAAAGTCTTTCAAAAGGAACTTTTTTAAATTAAAAACAGTTTTAGCTAATAGCAAATATAAAGAAAATCTGATTGGCCAACTTTGACCCTGTTTTCAAAAAAATCACATGCCATTTTACTTCATGTCGTCATAATAAATTGGGGTAAACAGAGACAGATGACACTCTCAAAGATGTAACATACTGTGACAATGTGACATTGTGACATCATCTTATTGTTGTTGACTAGTCAAGTATTTAATTATCTTACAAAGGCCATCATCAGTTTAAGTATACAAACATTTTTGTTTATGATGATGAATCCTTTAATAGGTACTTTCCACCTTGTCTTTACTTGTTAAAGGTACTGTATTTCTAATAAAAGGTTATTCTTTGGAGATCTAAGTACTCAATTATTCAACTGAAAACTGTCCATCTGAATCTGGCCGGAAACTGGCATCTCCGTAGAAAAGACTTGATGCTACCATTTGATGAAGTTTGTGAATGCTTCCCTGATGACGTACATAGTACCCAGGGAATTCTGCTGACTCAAATGTGTAACATCCAGTGTACCATTGGTCAATATGGAGAATGAACGTCGCATTGTTATTGAACGCTGTTTGGTCATTTGTAGCGGTAATATCTTCCCAATAGAGTATTGCGTCCATTCCACTTGCGAGCCAGTACCGATTTGGATACTTTACCGATTGAATAGAAATCGTTCCATCGACACCCGACAGTCCTGGAGAGAGTATCTTGAAGTACTCTTTGCAGTTTGCGACATTTTCTGAGCGATATGAGTTCCCAACAACAGCACAGATTCCATAACTTCCATAGTTCTGGGATGTAAAATAATAGAGTGGGACAACATCTGAAAGAATAAAATAACAAATTACTGATGTGATAGAATTAAGTGATAATCCCTTTTGCAGGTTTTAGTCAGTTTTGGAGTTAACATGTTTTAATGAATAGTACAGTTGTTCACATTAGCAGACAAGGGTCCTCTCCAGGAGGCCTGGGGATCCCTTGGTATATTCTTTTGTATATGACGGGGAATTTTATGTCACTACCAAAAGTGTTTAATCTGTTAATACAAGTCATTGATTTCAGAAATATTTTTGCTGGGAATGCAGAAATTAGTTCTGTAACTGTTCCAACTTCCAAATATGGTAAAAAAATCCTCTGGGTTCTAGAGTAGAAAAGTACTTTAGTGGCCCGAATGCAGTTGTCCAGATTATATTCAAAACATCAATATTACAATGATATTGGTTATGCCTCAACCAATAATTATCCCATCGAACGAAGTTCGGAGGGATATAGGGAACGCCTCCGTCCGTCCATCCGTCCGTACGTACGTACGTCCGTCCGTCCGTACGTACGTCCGTCCGTCCGTCCGTACGTACGTCCGTCCGTCCGTCCGTACGTACGTCCGTCCGTCCGTCCGTCCGTCTGTCCGTCCGTCCGGGCAATAACTCAAATACCGCTGGCCCGATTTTGTTCATATTTTGTATACATATACCCAATGGGGGTAGAAGTTCTGCTCGAAAACCGATTTTCAAAATGGCCGCTCAAAAAAAAATGGCGGCCATTTTAGTGCCGATTTAACAGTAATTTAGGTACTGCATATAAAACTGTAATAGCAATATGTTTTAAATGTAAAAAAGTTATATAAAACATTGATTAAGCTAGAAATGTAAATATAGAAGAAATACATGGCAGCCATCTTGAAAAATGGCTGCCTTTGCACGTCATTTTACGATTTTTGCTGTAACTTGAAAAGTAGTGGAGCGATTTTGTTCATATTTGGTATGTGAATACTTTAAGCATGGCACAATGTCTAATGACATTTTGGGTAGTAGGCGGCCATTTTTCAAAATGGCCGCCATTTTTACGTGTGTTATTTAACATTTTTCACTGTAAGTCAAAAAGTAGTGGAGCGATTTTGTTCATATTTGGTATGTGAATACTTTAAGCATGGCACAATGTCTAATGACAATTTGGGTAGTAGGCGGCCATTTTGAAAAATGGCCACCATTTTTACGTGTGTTATTTAACATTTTTTACTGTAAGTCAAAAAGTAGTAGAGCGATTTTGTTCATATTTGGTATGTGAATACTTTAAGCATGGCACAATGTCTAATGACATTTTGGGTAGTAGGCGGCCATTTTTCAAAATGGCTGCTATTTTTACGTGTGTTATTTTACATTTTTTACTATAACTCAAAAAGTATTAGAGTGATTTTGTTCATATTTTATATGTGAATACTATAAGCATGGCACACTGTCTAATGACACTTTGGGTATAAGGCGGCCATTTTGAAAAATGGCCACTATTTTTACGTTTTTTACTATAACTTGTAAAGTAGTGAAGCGATTTTGTTCATATTTGATATGTGAATACTTTAAGCATGCCACATTGTCTAATAAAACTTTGGGGAGTAGTCGGCCATCTTGAAAAATGGCCACCATTTTTATATGTGTTATTTCACATTTTTTATTATAACTCAAAAAGTAATAGAGCGATTTTGTTCATATTTGATATGTGAATACTCATAAGGATTGCATACTGTCTTATGAAATTTTGGGTTGTAAGCGGCCATTCTAAAAAATGGCCAGCATTGGCGATTTTTTAAGAATTTTATATGTGGCTACTTAAAAGCATATTACTTCTTCTGATGACAACTTAATGGCTAGTGATCAACCATTTTGAAAATGGTGGCCTTTCTTATGGGTGTTATTTTATGATATTTGCTATATATTTCAAATGTAAAAATGCCAGCCATTTCTGTTCGATGGGATTCGCTACGCTTTGGCGTTGCCGTTGTTCTGGTTACATTTTTTATATAACCTATCTGGAAACAATCTAAGAATATACTAAGCACCCTACATATTTAAAGTAACATAATAGTCATAAGATATCCTACCTCCTCCTTTCCCATCCTCATTCATTGGCAGAAATACATTATAGCCATCAATCGCTGCTTCTAACACCTGGTTACCCAGTAAGTGACATCTTACATCAGAAGCTCCAAAATCAAATGCAACACACCCTGGAAGTTGTATGCATGTAATGGCGCATTTGTTGGGTGAAGTAGATTCGATTTCCTGAGTGACGTTAGTTCCCTTGAAATTCACCTGTTTTTTAAACATCTGCTGACTTGTGGTTAATTTGAGAAATTGGTTTATAAATAGAAGGATTGTCAATCGTTTTATAGCTGTTGACTCCATATTTTTTCTTCTAGACTCTAGAAACCTGATGGAGGCAGAGGCTCGCAATCATTTCATTTCTCATTTCATTGCATATTGACGTCACCAGCATAACATTGTAAAAATATATAATTTCAATACTGATCAATATAGTATTTTGGCATACTCTGTCTTAGGGTTTATTGATGTAATTTCTAACTTCCATTCATGAAATACATTTATCCTATATCTTGATTCAACAAAAATCTATTTTCATTAATAATGTATGTACATATTGAGGTGTTCTTACATGAAAGAATAAAAGTTAAGTCTAAGTACTAGTCTTTATTCTATTACAACTATGCCGAAAAAAATGGTACAATTTAGAAATTTCTGCCTAAATGATAAAGAAATGATGCGGAAGTGAGAGCGAGCAAGAAGAGAGCCTAAATGGTTCTGCCTCGCTATTTATCTAGTTATCCAAGTTACAGGTTACACCAACTGAAGTCCTGAAGTTACAGTCAAGTTATACAATCAAGTTACAGTCAAGTTATACAATCTAGTTACAGACAAGTTACACAATCACAAGTTACAGTCAAGTTATACAATCAAGTTACAGTCAAGTTACACAATCACAAGTTACAGTCAAGTTCTACAATCAAGTTACAGTCAAGTTACACAATCACAAGTTACAGTCAAGTTACACAATCACAAGTTACAGTCAAGTTTTTTTTTGTTTTTTTTTGTAAAATCTATTTATTTCTTAACATATGTACAACATGTATGCATAATATTACATAATTACAGTTACAATACAGAGTTAAAAACTATTTACATTTAATTAAAATTTTTCAATAAATGTACCACTCTCTTAAGAATTAGGTTTTCATAATATATCTCTTTTCATTGGTTTTACACCTAGACGTTCCTAAATGTTACATTCATTTCCAATCCAAATAGGTTCAATTTTTTTACAACTTACAAAAAAATGGGCCATATTGTCATTTTCATCACAGAATTTACATTTGTCACTATCCATTATGTTATATCTTTTAAGTATGCCCCCATGAGGGTAGATTTTATGGAGTATCTTCCATTGTAATTCTAAGAGAACTGTTTCTCTAGTACATTTATAAAGTGTTTCCCATACATCTTTGAGGATATGCTCACCATCATAATACAATTCAACCTTTCTGTCTTGTACCAATTTTTTCCTAATGAATTTAGCAGTTATTTTATTAACTTCAATATTTCTGAAGTAAAGTTTGTCATTTACATGATCATCTTCACAATTATACCATCTAAAGATGTGTTCTGGTTTTAAAGCATTTCTTAATGCCTGATACTGTAAAAATACTTGGCCATTTCTACCTACTATGTTGGCAATATCATCATATGGTACCAATGCTTTGTTTCTAATGACATCCTTAATGTATATCAGTTTTTTCTCAATCCAATTAGAAAAATACAGAGTTTTATTAGCTCTTACAATATTGTCATTATTCCATAATATATACTCATCTTTATAATTACAATATTTTATCCACATTTTTAATATATCAGCATAAAATTCAGAGCAGTTCTCTAGACCACTTATTTTTTCAGCTGAAGTGTTACTTCTAAAAACAGAGAGGTTTACTCCCAGCTTATCATACATACTAAAGGAAATGCCCTTTGGAGCTATCCTTAAGTTTTTTGACCCACTGTAATGCATATGCAATTTGCATGTCTTTAACATTGATCATTTGTAGACCACCTTCAGAATAGTCTTGTACAATAACATCTCTTTTAACTTTCTCAGGCACATTCTTTAAGTCACATTCCTTAAATTTTCCCTTGGCCCAAATAAATTTGAAAACCATTGTATTTATTCTGTTTAAAATATTCTCTGGTAAAATAAAGCCTTGCATTATATAGGAAAACTGTGATATAATCAATGACTTTGCAAGAACAATTTTTCCAAAAATAGTAAGTATTCGGTTTGCTCAAGACTTCATAATACTTTGACATTTTAAAAACTTAGATTCAATATTTACACTGTTGTTTACCACTTTTACATCCGGACTGAATGTGATTCCTAATACTTTAATAGAGTTTTCAGGTTTGATTTTCCACTTGACTTTACCAAGAGTATCTTTCCTATTTTTCCATGAACCAAGCCACATGGCTTCAGTTTTATTTACATTCATATTTAAGCTAGATATATTGGAAAATCTTTTAAAGACATCAATGGTATTATAAAATGATTGTGAGTCTTTTACAAACATTGTAGTATCACAATCACAAGTTACAGTCAAGTTATACAATCACAAGTTACAGTCAAGTTACACAATCACAAGTTACAGTCAAGTTATACAATCAAGTTACAGTCAAGTTACACAATCACAAGTTACAGTCAAGTTACACAATCACAAGTTACAGTCAAGTTATACAATCAAGTTACAGTCAAGTTACACAATCACAAGTTACAGTCAAGTTATACAATCAAGTTACAGTCAAGTTACACAATCACAAGTTAAAGTCTAGTTTCACAATCACAAGTTACAGTCAAGTTACACAATCACAAGTTAAAGTCAAGTTACACAATCACAAGTTACAGTCAAGTTACACAATCAAGTTACACAATCACAAGTTATAGTTAAGTTACTCAATCACAAGTTACAGTCAAGTTACACAATCACAAGTTACAGTCAAGTTATACAATCAAGTTACAGTCAAGTTACACAATCACAAGTTACAGTCAAGTTATACAATCAAGTTACAGTCAAGTTATACAATCAAGTTACAGTCAAGTTACACAATCACAAGTTAAAGTCAAGTTACACAATCACAAGTTACAGTCAAGTTACACAATCAAGTTACAGTCAAGTTACACAATTACAAGTTACAGTCAAGTTACACAATCACAAGTTACAGTCAAGTTACACAATCACAAGTTACAGTCAAGTTACACAATCACAAGTTACAGCAAGTCACTTGATCAAGTTACAGCAGGTTACTGGGTCAAGTTACAGCAAGTCACTTGATCAAGTTACAGCAGGTTACTGCAGGGTTCGTACACACCTTGAAATGTCAGGGAAATTGATTTATTTTTTCAGGTGCTGGAAATGTCAGGGAATTTTAAAATTGGGTCAAAAAGGGCCAAAAATGTCAGGGAATTTTGAAACAGTAGAAGTGTCAGGGAAATGTCAGGGAATTTTGTATGATTGTTGAAAAAATAAAGTTCCAGCAAAATACATTTGAAGGCTCTGACAGGATATCAATGAAATTCAAAATCAAATGTTAAGTTGTTTCCACTAATTGTTTATCTTTTCATTAGGTTTGATTGAATGACAATAAATCTGGTTTTGTCTATTTGTAAGAACAGTGTGAACATTATACTGTATCCGAATAAATAATATGTATAGATGGTTCAATACAATTTATGCTTTCCATGTAGTAAGTTAGTCTTAGGCCATTCAAAGTTAATTACTGGTATATATTTCATGGTTTGTTGAGGGGTTATAATCTGAGGAGGGCAGGAGGTGAAAAACAAAAAAATCCGGGAACTCTTTACAGTTTAAAATTGTATTTATATTAAGTCTGTCTGTTCGACAGTCCGGTCGTATTCAGTCTATTTATCTATCAGGGTGATAACTCAAATATCAGTTGACAGATTTGGTTAAAATTGTATATACCAATGCTTTTGTTACTGTACATAGAGCCTCTGCCCTAGAAGCCACTTGCCATTTTTCATATAATGTTCATAATGATAGTATTCTATAAAATATGTTTCATGAGGTGGGAATTGCCTCTCAAGGGAGTTGCTATTTTTCTTTAGATCAACATTTTGAAGTTTCAGTTTTTATTTGGATTAATTACAAAACATTAACAAATTATAGTTTGAAATGCTTAGAATGCACCATATACAATTGTCAATTTGGAAAAATTTCCATGGGGTGAACCCCCGTACCCCCCTTTTGATTTTCCTTCGCTCGCAGTGATGCAAACTCCAAAAGATGCACCCCCTGCTTGACACTTGTTGGCTATGCCCCTGTACAGTACATGTATGTTTACCTTTAGCCTTATGCAATGTAAATATGTAAAATTGAGAGAATTAATTGGTGAATAAGACGGCCTGTAGAAGTAAAGTTAGGTCATGAGAAATGGTACCAAAGGACAAACCCAAAATGTTTGATAATAAATCTTGTCTTTTAAGTAATACAGTTGTTAGTGTAACGCGGAATATGGCATATATTCATGGTTATGCGGTATTTGTGATACTGGTGAATATGGCATACTCGATCACCTGCGGTATATGGCATATTCCGCAGGTGAGTATGCTACATTGATTTCAGTGAATACAACATACTCACTGCGGAATATGTCATACTCTTCTGCGGAATATGGCATACTCAACTGTGGAATATGCCAAATACCGCAGATGAAAACGTGATACAGAAAGCCTCAATTTGATTGGTCGAAAGAATCGATTCTAAATGTAAAACTACGCTAGATTACCAACATAGATAGCGCTTCGAGTGCTAATATGAATGAATCCTGGATTGATTTAGTATGTTTATTACGTGTAATTGCTGAATGATACTCCTGAAAGTATCAGAAATGGGTAAATCATGATTGCCAATATAACAATATACAGTATAAATACTCTTGATTTTTTAAAGTTATTATTTATAGTTATTATCTGGCTTTTGTAGAATGTTGATTTGGTTATAAAAGTCACTCATAAGCTTTACGAACGTAGGTTCGTTTATTTATGCGTCATGATGTTTCCCTTGAAGTGTGTGTTTTGCCTGTAACACATACGCAAAACAACATCAGACAATACAGGTACCGTACTGGTGTATGTTATTCAATTGTTATCGCTTATATTTAATGCACTACATGTAAGATGTTGATTCAATAATCATAATAATAACTTAAAGACTTTAGCACATTCGTTGAATCGATGTAATTGACAATTGCCT